GTGTGCTTTGGTAAGTGGAGGTGTTATGGTAATTATAGTGGTCATTTATAGCGATCGCTTGACAAAATACACCAACAGTGTTAACAAAATGCACTAATTGTGTTAGGGAAAAGCACAATAATGAAATGCACAAATACACCAAAAAAAAACACACAACACACCCAAAAAATATATCATATAACACCCTCACCCTTAATGGTGTATTTCTAAACACTGTGTGATGCTTTTATTCATACCTAATGGTGCGTTTAGGTGATGCGTATCTAATTGCATCACTTATTTGTTCATTTTTTTTTGTGTGTGCATTGTCTAACATGGATGTTGTATATTTGTATAACTATTGGTGTGGCCGCACCATGACCGCACGAGAAAGGGCTGCCGCACCTGAACTTGGCACCAACGGAAATCTACAAATACACTCGTGTAAGTCTAATAATGCACCAATTACACAAATAAAACACACAACAATGTGATTTGCCCTATTTGGGTGCCCAATGACGACTTTAGCCTTGCAGTTCACGCAGTAGTGGGGGAAGGTGCGCGAAAATATTGGAGAAGCCTTGATGAACGTGATTCATTGAATTTATCTAATCTAATGGTCTGCAATTGACTGCACCATCGCACCTAACAACACTGTCGCACTTGAACTCCCATATATATATATATATATATATATATATATGTATGTATGTATGTATGTATGTATGTATGTATGTATGTATGTATGTATGTATGTATGACATATGTGCACTGCTCTCTTTCTTTTTTTTTTTTTTTAGTTAGGTACATAGGCGCCCGCTTAGATTGTTGGCACTAAGCGCTACTCTACTGTCTGACTAGCACCTAGCGTCTACTGCAATTATGGACTAGAGTATGTTCAAATTTGAAACAAATTAATGACCATCCTATGATAAATAAAAACTAAACAAAATTTAAAAAAAATAGTCACGACGGTAAATATCTTAAGGATAATATTGATATTGATTCACTCTTTTATTTGATAAACTAGTATTTTCACTCGTGCGATGCACGTAATGAATTTGTTATAATATATTAAGAATATTTGGATCGATATATAATTATTTAAATTATAATATCAAATATGGAGTATTATATAGTGCAATTGAAGATATGGTTTGGATCGTTTATGTTTGTTGATGTTATCATTGCTTGACTTTGAGCAAGTAATTGCACAAATTAATAGTTAATGTGTAGATGTACGCATGCGGTGTTGTAACTTTAGAGATTTTTATATATCATCATTTAGGATTTTTATAAATTGGGCAAATGTGCTCGTTCTCTAGCAACTTAGTTATAGTAATCAATTGTTATCCTAATTCATTTGTATAAAGGATATATTTGTGTCTAAATATATATCAATTTTGTCATTTTGAAAAAAAAAACCACAATATTATCGATTGTATTTACACATTATTGAAAACTTCTTTGTATACGACATCGGTAGTCGCAACACAATCTTGTCCATCCTTGTCTAGAGCTAACACATTCAGGCCATCAGGATGGGCAATCTCGTATCAAAAGGAGTGAGAGGCATTCGGGGGATAAGAACTTTGATTTCTTCATGTGTCCCATTAACTATTCTTGCTTCGACAATGTGATCTACCAATATTGTAATGATGAGTCGCGTCCCGTTACAAAGACCAGGAGAGTGGTCCATGTTCCGCAATAATATAACAGGTGCACCGACCTTTAATGCCAATGAATGATTACGAAGACCTGACAATCTCAAATTATTTAAGAATTCAGGAATGTGTACTTTTGATAGATTTTCACTGTCTGATTCTACCTTACACAAAGAGTCACAACTTAAATATATTCGTCATTCTGTGGTATTCATGTCGCACATGTACTGATTAATTTGATCAACAACATCTAAAGTCGGCGAGAGGATCGCTCGGCCTTCTAGCTGCGCCTCATCAAGCATGTCATATCTGATCTCAAGCTTGGGAATGTGTTTTCCACTATAGTTGCTATGGGATTGCGTCCACGCTTCAACAAAAACCGTGTCAGAATATCAATCTCAAATGAACCGCTATTTACAACCCTTGTAATCTCATCTCTGATGTCTACAATCCATTTTGAAAACCAATCAACCGTCTTTCTATCTAGGTGAGTCTTAATACCTTGCAATTTGTCAACAAGTATGAAGAATTAATATTTGCTCCGACAACTACTGGTCTTGTTGCTTTTGGAATAACATGTAGGATCTATTTAAAATATTCGCCCAAAATTATTGTCTTTCCACCAAAAGTCTTTTTTGCACTACCCGATATGACGAACCTCAATAGATCCCTCATGGTTGTCCAAAGCCTCAAAATAGTGTTTGTGCGTCACCAGTGCTTCATCCCATATTATTAATTTTCTCCTTATTATAAGCTCAACAAGGTCATTGTCTTGCGATATATTGCACGTGGGATGGAATCTTCGTTCAAGGAGAGTGGTATAGCAAATCTAGAATGTGCCGTCATGCCTCCTAGCAAGAACAAAGATGTTATTCCATTGGAAGCAACATTCAAAACAATATCATTGTCGCTCCTTATCTTTGATGATAACGTTCTCCACACGAACATCTTGCCTGTTCTTCCGTAAACATACACAAAGAACAATCCACCTCCATTGGAATCAATATCATTCATCACAGAGTCGTAACCATTATTTTGCTCGTCGGTTCTTCAACGATTCATTGTCATACGCCAACTCTTCAGCTATCAACATGTTTTAACTCAAACATATGCTAGTTTTGTCTGGAATTGACATTTCTGAAAAGTCCTTCAGGCTCTTCATTCCCCACAAAGGAGAAAAGGGATAAATAATTTAATTGTAATTATTATAAAAATAAATTCAACAATCCATGTTTAGCTTACTTACCATAATAATAATTAGTCAATTATACTAATATCTGTGCAATTATACTTTTATACTTAAGTATATTCATTTTCATCATATCGCCTTTACTTTTTCTTCCTCCTCCTCTATATATGAATGGATTAATTGTAATTATTATATATAAAAAAATTCAACACCCATGATTAATTGTAGCTATACTATTATCCTTCTAATTATTAGCTTAATTAACATAATAATTATTAATCAAGCATACTAATATTTGTGCAATTAATCTTTTAATTACCATAATAATTGTTAGGTAATTATACTAATATTGTGCAATTATACTTTTATACGTGTATATATATATATATATATATATATATATATATATATAGAGAGAGAGAGAGAGAGAGAGAGGAGAGAAGGATTAGTATAAAATTAATTGAAAAACAACTACTCCGTACAATATTTTATGAGATTTTTTTTTAAAAAAAAAAACTACAATATTTTTAATGACCTAAACCTCTACATTAATTTGTACTATATATGTTCTAATTTACAACTGTAATAAGCATGTATATACACCTTAAGAAGTATATAATAGAAGTTAGAGCATGCATTAGTTTGTTCTGCTCATGATGCTTTCTCTTCGAACCAATAATAGTTGAACTTGTAATCTTCCTTATATTCTCTAAGGATTGATTTGCCAAACTGCTGCCATAAATGTATTTTGAATATGTAAAAATTGGCAAAAACTTGTGTGATGGGTCGGATATGTGATTAATGAAGCCAAACTCATTAATTAAAAATTTGACTCATTAATCAAATATTTGAGTGAGACGGTCTCACACAAGTGTTACCTGTAAATAACTGCTTTTATACTTGTCTTCTTTATAAATTATTTGAAAAAAAAAATGGTAAAGTTTCTTGAAACTTTATTAAGCTGTATTTAACATTGTTTACTCTATTTTGTATCTCGGAATTCAAAAAGGTTGATGTGTGCTAATAATTAATGATAAACATTAATGTTATTATCTTACTCATTGCTTTTAGTGTTTACATCTAATCAAGCGCAGAGTTGATATGTAATTTCATGCAAAGCCCTCAAATTCCCTGTTGAATGTTAGCAAAAGGATCATTAATAATAAGCACACCATACTTGGGTTTAATTTTCTTTTACTTAGATTCACTGACCATTTTCAATACTTGATTTTTAGAACTAATATTTTGATTGATTTAACTTCTACTTTGCAGGTTTATAAATTAGTTAAGAAGTAATATAATGTTGGTTAAATGTATTAGAGGATTATGTTAAGGTACATTCTTACTAATTAACTTACATATATATGTTTTAGATTAAACTCAAAATGAGAGATGTTTGAACTCAATAAGTATTAAAAAAATTTATTTAACAATAGAATTCAAAATACTATACATTCAATGTATACAGTGACAAAATATTTATTTATATACAATCAAAACAAATAAAAAATAAAATGATAGTTTTAAACAACTATTCTTATTGAATACAATACCAAAAAAAATTGCAGTACAAACTACAAAAGAAATAAGTGGTTGTTCATATCTGCAACACAACTTCAATCACTATCTACAAAATTGTCTTTATATTTAGTGCAACAAAGCTTCAATCACTTCTAAGTGGTTGTTCATATCTGCATGTGTTGCACTACCCGACGAGTTTAGAATATGCCGCCATGGATATTGAACTCGTCAACCTGGAAGATACCTATCTATGGAAAATACGCTTTTATCCCTTCACTTAACGGTTGTCTAATGGAATGTTCACGGAAGGACTAATGATGGAACAAATATGATAGTCAAGGGTTTATTTCGTCCAAATTAAAAAACGAGGACTAATTTTGAAAAATTACAATACTCGGAAGACCATTGCTGGAATTAACTCTATGTTATACAAACACAATTAATTACACAAAACGGAAAACAAATAATTGAATAAGTAAATGGAATAGTTGCCTTAAATGGGAAACAACTAATTAAATAAGTAAGTGGAATAATTGCCTTAAATGGGAAACAAATAATTAAGGTAAGTAAATGGAATAATAGACCATCGTCCAGGCTTGCCAAGCACACTTACTTGACCGTTGAGAAAGTGTACACTCTACAGAGGTCCGCGAAGGTCCAAACCAAAACATCAGAGGGCAGAGGCTACAGAGGTGAGGGTTTCTTTCATTTTTTTTCTTCCCAACTCTTCCTAATCTCCTTTTATTTACCAAATCTTGCAGATTCTCCCAACGATTTTGGCTTTTGATTTTGACTGACGCCTCATTGTTGTTTCAGTTTCATGGCTCAACCTGCAGTGCGAATCAAAACGGTACTGGATCGAATAAGTCATCTACCGGTAGAGGTAAAGGACAGAATTTTGGAGTGTTTGTCCAAATGCTCCTTGTATTTTTCCCTGTGTCACTTCATTAGATTTCTGGTGTGTTAACTTTAACGATAATGCTAATGGAATTGTGTATAGTATTCCTAATCTTGAGAAGCTTGATTTAAGGAATTGTAGAGGGATCAATAATTTTAAGAGTAATGCTCCAAAACTTGAAAGCTTGTCTATTATTAGTCATGTCTGTGCGGTTGAATTGAGATGGTTTGCACTTCATTTGAAAGCAATTAAGGTTCTTTGCATGGAGTGCTACTTGCTGGTTAGAATCTATCTTCCTTCATATATATATATATATATATATATATATATATATATATATATATGGACTATAGTATTGACAGATTAAATATTCTTTTCCTTCTGGTTTGTTAGAGTTGTTTTCAAGTCTCATATAATCTTTCTTTTTTTGTTAAAGAATTGGGAAGATGTTGAAGTAGCCTCCTTCCCAACTGCAATAAATATGCAAGTAATCAAATTGGATTCTTTAGAGTTTTCCATTGAAAAGCAGCTCAAGGGTGTTTTGCAGTTGCTTCAAAAATCTCCCAACCTATGTGAATTGGACATTACTGGAGTAAGTTTTGTGAGACAAAAATTAAACCTTTATAGAGTATATATGCCCATCCTGATTTTTTGTTTTCTTTAAGTCCTCATGGTTATTTGTACATTTTTATTTTATTTTATTTTATTTTATTTGTTGTTGAGTTGTAGGCCTTTGAAGATGACTTCATAGAAGATGAAGCCATGGAAGATGATGACATAGAAGCTGAACGCATGGAAGCTGCACGCATAAAAGCTGCACGCATAGAAGCTGCACGCATAAAAGCTGCACGCATAGAAGCTGCTTCAAGACTTTTGAAGGATCCAGAGAGTTGCATTATTAGTCAGGATCTAAAAATGCTTAAAACAATCAAGATTGATATGTATTGTGGATCCACAGTTGAAATGCTTTTTGTGAAAATGCTGCTCTCAAAATCCCCTATACTAGAGAGAGTTGTCTGATTGTATAAAAGATGGCTACACGGTGATCAAGTTCCTAAGGGAGTTGGTGTGCTTCCCTCGTGCACATCTCCAAAAGCACAAATTGTCATCAAGGGCAAAGACTATGCTGAAGGACTGGTTGGTTTAAGGACTGTAAGCAATGGTGATGGTGGAACTTGAAATGTTTTGTTAGATAAGGATGGCACCTTAGATTGTTTACTAAGGTGTTCAGTAGACTCCATGAATATCTTTTTTTTTTTTTTTTTTTTCAATTTGTGCTTCTGTTAATTGCACTAAATTTTACTTCATATGATGAGATGTTGGTGCTTACTGCTTAGCCAAGTGTTTCTTATGACTGAAATGCAATGGTGTATTCTCATTTTTTTATTCTTGACTTTTACTCCATACGGAAAATGATGTAGACATATGTATTGAGACCCACATGAAAAAAATAGCTTATCAGTGCCCGCTACATCAAAAAATAAAATTAGAACTCTTTAATTCGTAATGCTCCTATTTCTTTAGATGCATCTACCACCTGAGAATCAAGTGAACTACTCATGGGGATTTCACATCCCTATTTTCTATGGAGTATGTATCCTAATTCCTATGGAGTATGTATAATGCAACTTGGGTTGTGTGATGCATTGTAGTTCTAATATTGTCAGTGTCATTGTTCTTAGCCAAGTGTTTCTCATAAAGAATTTAAAAGAATGGCTCAACAGCATGCATATTGTCTTCTCAATCAGTCCGAAGTACATATATGTTTTTATATATGAAGAATCAATATTTATTAATTTATTATAGTTTGTTAGGCACCACACCTTTTATATCATTCTTTCCAAAAGGTGAACCCCAATCCTAAGGCCCCACACCCCGATCTAACAGAGCATTTGGGAGGATGTAAATCATGGTAACACAACTGAACATGAACCAGAGAGGCTAGACCTTTGCTTACTGCGACACCTTTTATATCATAAAATGCCAATTCAGTTTTTAAAATCACCCAAGTTAATACGTTATATTTAATAATTTTTTTGCAAATGGGTCCAAGAAATACTTGTCATTAAATAATAATAATAATAATAATAATAATAATAATAATAATAATGATAATAACAATAATAATAACAATAATCTATATCTATATCTATATCTATATATATAAAAACAAAATCCTCAACTTTAACATTCCACCTAAAACAGTCATATACTATTAAGATTTGCGTAATATTGTAAAATAGTGTAATACAATTCCTAATAGAATATATTGTTTTCTACTTTCCTATTCGTACTATAATTCTATATTAAAATTTCTATTCTAATATTGTAAAATAGTGTAATACAATTCCTAATAGAATATATTATTTTATACTCCTCTTTTCGTACTATAAATTTTTGAGTTAGAGAATTGAGAATTTTATAAGTTTTTGATATATATTCAGATGTTTTTTTTTTTTTCAAAACAAAATCATTGGGCTTTTAATTTTAGTTTGATTTGGTTTCGGTTTGGTTTGAAATAGTTAGATTTTGACTCATTTGATTTGTTTCAAATTTCAGTTCGTTTGAGAACTCACACAACTCCGCCGGAATTGTCCCCATCAACTGGTTCATTGACGCGTCTATTAGCCTCAGTGCCGGAAGCTCCTCGGTTCCGAAAATTGGACGACGAAAATAAAAAATCTCCACAGGTTTCCCCTTTTCTAAAAACTTAGAGTGACCATTTTGTCCCTATGAATAACTAATTTAAGAAGGTTTATGTTTTTCCGGCAATATTTCACCGGCGATTTGGCCGGCAGGACTAGATGTGTTAAAAATTGCATAATTACGGGACTAAATTGATAGTTTTGAAAGTCAAGTACTCAAATTAGCAAGACCACAATAGTCACAGGACCAAAAGTGTAATTTACTCTAAGAAAATATATAATGGATGCATGTGTATGGTAACAATAATAATGAAAAAAGATAACAGAAGTTATAATGTTAGGGAAATTTTTGTTCAAAAAATTATATATAGTACACTCTAAAAGTTCAATGTACAAAATGATTAGTATTAAAAACATAGACATAAATGAGAGATATAATTTTACCAAGTGGCTTGTAGTCCATTGGTATCAAGTTGCTCCCTTAGGTAGGAGGTAATAGGTTCGAAAGTTTGTTTATGTAGGGTATATCCCCCTTCCTTGTAATAAAAAAAAAAAAACAAGAGATATAACTTTGATTAAGAGTTATTATGTTTTTAAATTATTATTATTATTATAACAAATAATATGCTATGAAAATGAATCAAACAGAATACATATAATTTATTAATTTTATTCCAAAGGGTTGAACTCCAACCCTAAGGGCCCACCCGACCCAACAGAGCATAATTTTAGGTCAAAAAAAAGGAATAATTTTTTGATATTCATTCAAACACTTAAAAATTAAAATAATTTATAAAAATGAGTAACTTTTTAAAAAATTATTGGTGGTGAAAAATATTTGTAGGTTTCCAAACCTATTTTTTTGTTGTTTTTTTTTTTTTGGAATAAGGGTCAAATTGGCCATCCAACTACATACCAAAATGCAATTAGGCCACCCAACTCAAAAAAGCAACAATTAGGTCCCTGAACTACACAAATTCATGCAATTTCACCAAAAATGACTTGTTTACCTGTTGGGTGGGTTACAAAATTAAAAATAATTTTTAAACTTTTATTTTAATAATTTTAAATAATAAATTATTTTAAAATTTAAAAAAAAAAAAAAAAAAACTCTGACTGCCGAAGACGAAGGGGTCTCCGGCCAGCCATGGAGAACCCTTCATCTCCATGGCTGCCCGGAGACGAAGGGATCCCCTTCGTCTCCTGGCTGGCCAGAGGCGAAGGGAGCCCTTCGTCTCTGTTGCTGGACGGAACCCCTTCGTTTCCGTCCAGCCACAGAGACGAAGGGGACCCCTTCGTCTCCGGCCAGCAAGGAGATGACGGGCTCCCTTCGTCTTTGGTAAGCCAGGAGACGAAGGGGATCCCTTCGTCTCCGGGCAGCCGTGGAGATGAAGGGTTCTCCATGGCTGGCCGGAGACCCCTTCGTCCCCGACTGTTTATCTTCTTTTTTTTTTATATATATAAATTTTAAAACAAATTTTTATTTAAAATTATTAAAATAAAAGTTAAAAAAATTATTTTTAAATTTGGAAACCGACACGTCAGCGTATCAAACAAGTTATTTTTGGTGAAATTGTATGAATTTGTGTAGTTTAAGAACTTAATTGTAGTTTTTTTTTTGAATTGAGTGGCCTAATTATATGTTGGTTTACAATTGGATGACCTATTTGACCCTTATTCTTTTTTTTTTTTTAAAGGAAAAGCCGACTCTTTTTAATTGCTAATGGAATTACAAGAATAAAAAAGAAAGAAAAGGAAAAGAAAACTGCTCTCTGATATAAAAGTTGAACCTAAAACCCGAGTACTAATAAACCCACCGCCTCCACACCAGCCCCTCAGCCCTCTACAGGTTCCCCGCCACCGCGGCTTCGATCACTCTCTCTCAATCTGCCGCTGTTTACCTTGAAGAATAAAATCAGGTTTTCTTTCTCACCTATATACACTTATCTATATATGTACAGATTTTTTTTTTTTTGGATTGCTTAGACAGAAACTCATTGTTGCTTTGGTATATAGAAAAGTCTTGAATATTGATTGCTTCAATTCTGATTTCAAATAAGATTTTGATTTATGTCTCTGTTCTAATTAAGGTTTTATTTTATTTTATTTGGGTCGTTAATGCAGAAAATAAAGCTAGATAATAATGATAGCAGCTATTTCCTGGGTTCCTAAGGGGGTTGCTAAGTCAGTCCCCGCTGCAGCTGAGCCTCCTTCGAAAGAAGAAATTGAAGAGATTTTGAAGAGTGGCATTCTTACAAAAAGGTATCATTCAACTATGTCTTTCTCTCTTTTTTTTTTTTTTTTTTTTTTTTTTTCCATAAACATGAGATACTGTTGTTATAAGCTTGGAAACCTAAAGTACTTAATTTTTTTTAAAGGTTTGTTATAAACAATCAGATTTTGTATACATTCTTCACATTTAAAACAAAATAAGCTATTTTGTGAAGCTTGGTGTTGCGGCAAGCACTCAATATAGATCATTAGCTCACAAGTTCAAGTTCCACAAACAGCTTTATTAAACCAGTGAAGATCCCACTTTCCATGTTAATGTTTAAAGAGGGAAATAGGGGGTGGGGGGGTAAATCCTTTCTGCTCATTGCCAAAAGTGTTAAAAATTAAAATGCTCTCATCTCAGTGTTGGGTTGATGCCAAAGTCCTAAGGCTGTGAAGGAGCCTGTTGATGAAAATTTTCCAGGAATTTAGCTTATATAAAATGGAGCTTGTTGGTTTTTCTTCATGGTTTCCAACTACCCTATCAAGAATCTACTCATCTTGAATAGTGCATATGTAGAAATATCAAATTGTAGATGTAAAATTGGAGTTGGAATGATCCTAAAACTAATGAAATTTGACTAGTTCTTTTTTTTATTTAACATGCTCAATCTTTCTGTATGCATGCCATTTTTTAATGTCTTCTATAAACATTGCAGTGATGAAGCTGATGAAGAAACTGATCCAGAAATGGATGTTGATACATCTAGAAATGACAACAATGATGAAGTTGACCATGAATCAGCTGCAGCGGATGCACATAATGAGGATTCTAAGGACACCACAGTTGATCTAACTGATGCTTTGAGGGAATTGGACATGGACAATTATGATGATGAGGAAGATGGTACCTATAACTACTGCCATAGATATTCTTTGTTTATGACTATGTTACTCCTTTAAACTTGTTGTCTTTTACTATGTATGCTCTACCTTAGTTACACATGTTATTTTGTGATATTATCAGCACCACTGTAGTTCAGTCATTTTACGGTTATACATTGAGATTCATTTGTTAAACTTTTCACATTATATGTATGAAATTTTACGTCTGAAACTTAATTTGGTTCTCTTTTTTTTTTTTTATTTTTTTTAATTTTTATTTTAATTTGTATTCTTTCCCTCATTGATTACTAGGCATCGAGCTCTTTGGTCCGGGACTTAAGGACTTGTATTATGCAAGTAATGACATGGATCCGTATCTTAAAGATAAGGATGTACGTTCAATCAATTTCTAATGCAATTTTCAGACTCCTTATCCTGCATTTAGCAAACTATCACAACGTTTTCCCCCTTCTTTTCTGTTCTTTGTTATTGTATCAACTTTTCCATTTCATTCAACAAGCACATTTTTGTTTCAATTTCAGGACAATGACTCTGAAGAGGAAGAGGACACAGCTATAAAACCTGATGATGCTGTTATAGTTTGTGCACGTAATGAAGATGATGTCAGTCACCTCGAGGCATGTGATGGTTAATTGGTGAATAAATTACTTAAATCTACCCCTGAATGCACTCCTCATTTCTAATCCATTAAGTGTTGACTATCAAGTTTGATCACTCCTAACAGGTTTGGATATTGGAGGATTCAACAGATACTGAATTGAACATGTATGTTCACCATGATATCATAATTCCGGCATTTCCTCTTTGTACAGCATGGCTTGATTGCCCTCTTAAAGGGGGGGAGAAAGGTGTGATGCTATTATAATTTGTTATATACTAACCACAAGATTTCAATGCACAAGTTAAACTTGTGTAGAGTTAGTTTGCCTAAGATTTTCTCCTGTTTTGAGGCATCTCACATAAATACAAATCATTGGACAGTATACTCTTTCACACTCTCTTTTTTCTATAAAGTTATATGATCTTATGTAAACAAGTTCTTGTATGGTTGTAGGGAACTTTATTGCTGTGGGCTCCATGGAACCAGCCATTGAGATTTGGGACCTTGACATTGTATAAGAACTCTTTATGGACTTTCTGTACATGGACTTTTTGTACATTATTCTGATCGTTCTTTCTTCACTTCTTTGTGCTCAGATGGATGAAGTCCAACCATCAGTTATCCTGGGTGGCATTGCTGAAAAAAAGAAGGGGAAGAAAGGGAAGAAGGTGCAGATATGAATTGATTTTTTTAGCACTTTTATTTAGAAGTATTAATTAGTCTCCTCTTCTGCCATTTCTTGCATCATTTTATGCACACACTTTTATCTATTACTGGTTTTATTTATTTGAAATCTTGGTGGGCAATGGAATATTTAAACTCCTGACCTCTATGTCTAGCAGGCCTCACCTTATCAAACTAAGCAATGCCCCTTTTGTATGAATGCTCTTTTCTTGAAATAGTGCATATATTTTGGACAGAGTAAACTCGTACTAATTGAAATAATAGTCTAATACTGTATTAAGCTTGAACAAAAAGTTAATAGACTGCAATTCTTTGGGTACTTAAACCTTGGCACTCTCCTTTGTCATATCAAAATGGCATGTGACCAATGTGCATATAATGTTAACAACAAATTTAATTAAATTTGAGCATGCCCCTTTATTCTAATAATAAGAAATATACTTCTTAAGCATATGATCAATCACATGTCATGAATGCAGTTCCACTTTGGTCGGTTGAAGAGCATTGGATGATGCATGATCTTGCTGTAAATATTTTTATTGTTGAAAGATTGAAACACCAAAAAAAGAGGGGATGGGATTCACTAATTTGGTGCAGTGAAAAATCTGTACACTGATGTGTATTCTATTGCAAACATGTAAAATATATAATTTTGCAACCTTTGTTGTTTCTTTTAAACTTCTTTCTGCTATTATTGAACCTTTGGATAATTTAAGTTAACTGTTAATAACAAAGTTCTTTTGTGCCATGATCTTATTAACATATGACAAATTTGATATATAATCACATATGGGGGGAGAGTGTTTCTTACGTTTCCATTAGCTGTAGGGCTAGGAATAGGTACTCAGGTTTTGGCTCAATCCCCAAAAAATTCAGGTACCTGATTATTTCGGCTTGTGAAATAGGAAATCCAAAGCCTGAAGTTTGCGGGGTTGGCTGGTTTGGTTCTAGTCGGGTTTGTATTGGGTATTTGGGTTGGTTGGATAATTATCCATTTATTTTCAGCTGGTGGTGTAAACCTCAAGAAACTTATTACCTCTTACCAAGTTTACTTCTTTTTCATTTCAGAAATCAATCAAATACAAAAAGGACAGCCACACCGATTCCGTACTTGGCCTTGCTTGGAACAAGGAGTATAGGTCTTGGAAGTTTTATTTTAGTTCTAATTATCAGTCAGATATCAGGTTACTTGAAAATGTTGTATCTTACCATCGTTATCATCTTATGCAGGAATGTTCTAGCCAGTGGTAGTGCTGACAAATCAGTCAAGATTTGGGATGTGTCAACTGGAACGTGTAATCTCACCATGAATGACCATGTTGACAAGGCAAGTGTGAAATGTTATTTCTTATGTGATTTGTTGAGCCATTTCTATTCTCTATCCTTGTTATCCAACTTCATTCTTGTTGAGGTTCCTGAATGAAGCACACATCACATGTATATATTTACAGTCTTGTGTTCATTGTGCTTACTTTCATATGCTCATCTTGGGTAACTTATTCTAAATCTCACAGCTTCTTGAAATGGGACAGACTTTAAGTATCCTTTTTCTTTTTCTACTTGAAAAGGCTTACTGCTCTATGTCAAAATTTATACGCAGTACTTCTCAGCACACAAATATCTGAAAATCATTTTATTTTTAATCTTGTTAGACTAGCCCTGGTCCAGAAGACTAGTATAGTAATTCACTGTAGTTTGCTTGTTCTGAACCTATGAGGTTTGTATTTTGTGTCATTTCCTATTTTTTGAGCAAAGTATTGAAGGCGGGTGCTTTTTGTATCTATATTTACACACACTAGTTTAGGAAGAGAAACCTACATTTCAAAGTTTGATTGTTCACCTTGTACATTTTCAGGTGCAAGCAGTTGCATGGAATCCATTTAAGCCACAAATTCTTCTTTCTGGATCATTTGATCGTTCTGTTTTGTTGGTGATGTCACTTGTCTCCTGATATTTTTAATCCATTCTCTCCCTAGATTGAGAAGGGGGTTGATAGATGGTTAGGCCTTTGTTTATCATAGTGGAAGATGCTAATTTGCTTGATGTTACATGTTGCAGAAAGATGTAAGGCAACCGTCCCACGAAGGATTTAAATTTTCAGTGGCTGACCAAGTTGAAAGCTTGAAATGGGATCCAAATGCTGAGCATTCATTTCTGGTTAGTGCCTTATCTTTGTTGAACATCAATATTGAGCTTTAAGCTAGTTTTGAGTACTGGAGATGGGAAGTCAATTATGATTTTTCAGAAGTAATTCGGTATGCACTACAGTTTTAGAAAATTGCCTGCTTATGTAGAATGAACTAAAATATTTCAGGTCAGCTTGGAGAATGGAATGATTACTAGTTTTGATATCCGGGCTGCTAATCCTAGTTCTACTTCTGAGATGAAGCCAAATTTCACTCTCCATGCTCATGATAAAGCAGTTTGCTCAATTTCCTTTAATCCATTGGTCCCAAATGTATGTTATGTTCTCTTCTTAGATGGACATGTTTTTTTTTTTTTTTGGTCTTCTTCCTTATTGAACTAATTTATTTAATTTTTTGGTAGCTTCTTGCAACAGGATCCCTAGATAAAACGGTATTCATATCTTCTCCTGTCTCTTTTATATTCCTGGTATCTCTTAACTGTATCCGGTAAGATTAATGACCATGTACTGCAGGTAAAATTATGGGATTTGTCCAACAATCAACCTTCATGTATTGCCACAAGGAACCACAAAGCTGTACGTATATTGTAAAGTTGGTTTGCTTTCAAAAATCAAAATATGTTAGTTATATATTTGCACAAGATCAATGCTTGAAACATGATGGTAGACATTAGGCCTTGAAATGTAACCAGAACTTCCTTTGTTTCTCTGCCAGGGGGCTGTGTTTTCGGTTTCCTTCTCAGACGACTGTCCTTTTTTGCTGGCGATAGGTGGCTCGAAAGGAAAGCTTCAAGTGAGTGAATACTCTTCATTGCCTTTCGTTATTGTTTGTTCTTTTGGTTGAATTGTAGAGTAATGCCCTTCTTGCATAATTATTTGCAGATGTGGGATATTTTGTCCGAGGATGCGATCGCCAAGAAATATGAACAATACGCCCAGAAGACAAGGTCTAAATCTTAGTAGTAATTTTATTGCAGTTTTGGAATTATTTCTGGTTCTCCTTTACTTGAACTTCTACCAAATTTATTAGGTATACAATTTTGTAGGTGTGTATGACTCTCGTGTAGCTGATTTATTTATATATATAAACACATGTTTTCAGGCGTGTTGTATTTAAACCCATTTGAGTTCACAAAATTTTGGACAGACTACAGTTCAGTCAACCAAGTTTTGCATTGTTCATGGCAAATTATACCATGGACTTTGCAGTATTTTTAGTTAACAAATTATATATCTGCAAAAAAAATTAAAGGTACATACTATGTTAGCAATTAACATATTATGTATTTTTAATTAACAAATTATGTACTATAAAAAAAATTAAAGGTATATAATATGTTAATTGTAACTGAAAGTATATAATATGTTAATTTTAAATATATAATTTAAATTTTATTTTTGACTAGAGTCTGTAATGCAAGATGAATATTAATCTATTGTTTGACAATTGTACTATTTACATCACTCTAATCTTTCGAGACAAAATGACAACAATATAATTTAAAAAATGGACAGAATGACAACAATATAATTTTCCCTAGTCATATTAAAGGTGGTTGTTATTTTCATATAATTTAAGAAAAGTGTTGTTTCCCCTCCAGGAAGTATAATCATATTAAAATAGATCATATATATTTTCATATTAAGATAAGAAATGCAATGCCTCACATGACTTCTCTGAAGAGGCAATATATATATCGCCACTCATCACACGATTATTCACATTATGTCCCAGGCAGGGAAATATACAGGTCATTTATGGAGTAAAAAACAAAAACAGAAAAATACAACGTACACTCGGTAGCTAGAACGTAACATTTGGGAATTGGCATATACCAATGTGAAGTATTCCATTTAAAGCTTGGAGGGAGGGTGGGAGCTAGCCAATGATACCATCCCCTCCTCTTTGACAGAATGACTCAGATATCTTGACCAATAAATACATGATTCTCGTTTTAAAAATCATACTATCCGCTTGATCTTCTTAGCCGCATCTATTATGGGTTTGCCAAACCGTGATTGTTCTAGGTTCGACAACTTTGAGAGTTGATCAGCAGCTTCAGGAAAGCGATTCTCAGGAATACAACTTTCTGTCTTGAGAGCAAACACAACTTCGTTGACATCTTCCTCAAGCTCAAGGTGGAAGAGGTGATGAAACATCTGCAATAGGTTTTGCACAAAACACCAAAATTTCAGCATGCAGCAAAATCAAAAGCACACAATCTTGTGAACCTCCATTGATCATAGCAAATTTGATAGGGAAAGATCACAAAACAATATTGTTTGAGAAATACAGTTCACTAGTACTTAATTCTCACCGGTTTCATTCTTGAAAAGACAGTGTCTTTAATGGCAGGAGACCTAGAGACCAAGTTGATTATGAAGAGACCTTGGTCAGAGAGAGAATCTTTTACAGCTGTAAGAAATGACTCTTCCACAAAATCTACAGCAGGACAGCTCAAACCAGAACTGCATAAATTCAATGGTAAAAGATTTTTTTATGACAAGTGAGCTAAAAGATTGAAGAAAATTACCAAGTGAACCACAATTAGTTAAATTTTGAGCCCCATTTACCTAGAATCTGAAGAATCCACATCTACAATAAGAATATCAATGTGAGGAGTGCTATTGGATTCTGCATCAGATACAGTAGAGTCCTTTAACTTGGATAGATCAGTTTCCCTACTACAAGTGACAAGGTGAGCTGCCTCTTTAACAAACTTTAACCCATCAGTAATAAGTACCTGCAAAACCATAGACAAAATCAGAAAGAAGTTATTAAGGTTTCCTAAAATACATATCGACAAGCTAAAACAGAGAACTCATTCTGCAAATCCCTATTCCCCTGGCGCACAAAGTAACACATGCTTTAATCCTCTACCAAGTCTTCCTATATAAATCCTATTTTCATGTTTTTCCTTCCCTCTATATGTGAATAATCATCATTTCCCATTAGAAACGTTGTGTTGGTTTCATGAGTTGTATTAATATTCCCATTTTTGGCCCTCTGCAGTTTCATGATTGTTTTCCCTGTGGTTTAATGGTGTGTTAAATTTCTATTTTCTGGAGATGTTTGAGAAAAATATAGAGATTTACCTTTAAATTTCCATCTTCTCTAAAATCAAAGTAGTCTCTAGCAAGATCTAGAACCACAGGGTCTAACTCCACAACCTGCAATTTTATATTAGTCAGTTTACCATTTAAACAAATCTATAACGATAGACCATCTTAACATCAACTTACCTCAATCTCAAGGAAAGGCATGTGCCTATGCAGAAACATGGGAAGTGATCCTGCTCCAAGACCAATTACAACAGTTGTTACCTGGAAAATCAATAATTTTCAAATTTAGTTTGCGAGTCAATGTGTCAACCCACCTGCATAAAAGACTACTCTAATCTTTTTATTTAATTTTTTTAATAAAACAATTCGGAGAATCCCAACCAAAATCAGTAGACAATCTATGAGCAGTTCAGGATACTATCCTCGTGACCCAAATTTGATGCTACCGAAAGAGCAGACAAAGTGCACTTAGAAGATTAAACAGGAAATAACTAAGAGGTCCAAGACAATGAAACAAGACCAGAGGAGCATGTTGTATCCCCCAAGCTCTTGAATAATAGAGCTTCTTAATTTATTTACCTATAAATAAGATATTGCTTATTAATACTACCCATGATACAATCCCACAATCAACTGAAAAATACTCTGCATAGCTGAAATGTCCACAAGGAGAAAATAAAAACACAATTAAACAGGAAAGTGCAACATGCTTATCATCAGCACTAGGGTACCAACTCCACCTGGATGGATTAAACTGTAAGTTTAAGGAACAACTGAACAAGATTTAACTGGATGTAAAGGAGCAAGGCCATCTCGTGTAAAATCATTTGAAATGGACATTACAGATATTTCACCTAACAGTGTCTCAAAGAGCCATAGGCATTTCTGTGTGGCTTACAACTAGACACAGAGGGAAGCTCTAGCAAAGCTCAGGATTCCCTCATTCATGAGAATAAAGAGAGCAGAAAATGGAAGAACAGGATGTAGCATAGATGAGAGAAGCTGTCCTTTTATAAAGGGCCCAAATAAAAATTTTCACTCTTACCATGCCTCTTTTTGATGCTGCACTGCTCAAATACGAAGAAATCAACATAAGTCCAGAAATGATTCCAGTATGATAAGGACTAGCCAAGTAACTGTGATCAACACTCAAATCATTTCTTGATTCTGTGGTAAGCCAACATATATAACACTATTTAGAAAAAGAAAGAAAGATCTAATGGGGCTTAAGAAAAATGAAGAACATATGACAAATATATAACATGATCCTAAAGAGACAGGTTTCTTCAGCCCTGCTAGATATTGGATGGAGGAGATGACAGCACTCCATATCCAGCAGCAAGAAAGGACTTTTGGTACAATGAACAATAAAGAGAACTCATTGGTTGAACTTAATTCCTTAAATCACATAAAAATATGGCAGGACAGAGAAACATTACCATCAGAACTTGTCTTACTTCCCTTCTTTCTGGATTTAGATCTTAGGTTTTTCTTCTGATCCTTGTCAGTTCTATTCTTCTGTGATCCTTCACTTGTTAGCACAGCCTCAGATTGCACCAAACTCTCAGTTCTTTGAAAAGTGAGGCGACGGAACATCACATTATCTGATTGAAACAGACAGCTGATATTCTCATCAGTTTGTTCATATATAACGTCATCCACAGTTATTGGACCAGTCAAGGACGATGTGATCTACACATAAAGATGAGAAATGAGCACTGTGTAAAGCTTCAGTGAAACTACAAGTCTCTATCCCATTGAAAATCCTACTTTGTTGATACAAAGAATATCAACGTGTAACAAAGTGGCTTAAAAAGGCTGACAAAGTGGAACATTATTTAACATTTAATTTTCTCTTAAAAAGGCTGACAAAGTGGCTTTTCACGTGTAACAAAATGTAAACTTTTCTTTTAGAAAATGAACATTATTTACAAAAAAGCCCAACAAGCAAACTTGGACATTCAATTTGAAAGCAGGAAGGAATGCGCTGCTGGCTCTGTATTTAGAAGTGACCAATATTTTCTGGAGTCATATAAAAATATATGGAGTAATATAATAAGATGTATATTAGCCACTAAAAGAGTTTCCTGAACCTCGTGCACAATCTTCCTCTTCTTGATTCCATCACTTGCTGCCATAAACCTGTCAAAAAGTCAATCTCGTGAACATTAGCAAGTCATCTCATCTCCAAACAAAGATCCATACACAAATACAATTCATAGTAAACCTAATCTATGGACTACTGAACTTGTTAAATTTTACTTTGTTACGATAGACACCAAGGTTTAGCATAGATGCAATGTCATACAACTGTGGTATATCTGCCAAATGGAAAGGTACACAAAATATCCATGCCGATGAGACAAGGTGGCATTTCGGAAGACATTCTAACATCCTGTTGAATATTAGGAAACCTTCATTGAATATTAGGAAACTCCTAGTAGGGTGGGCTTAGTTTCCTAATCCTATTAGGTTAATTTAGTATCTAGTTTAGTATATATAAAGGTCCATAGACATAGAGATATATTCTATTGTAATCTTTCACTATAATATATTCTCTTTATTCTCTTGTTCTTTGGTTCTCACATATTTTGCTTCCGCCTAACTGGCGGGTGGTGGTTATTCTCCACCCGCCAGATCTATCAATCCCTCAATTTCAACATGGTATCAGAGCCTACTTTCTTAGGCTATTTTTCTTCAAATATTAAAACCTTAATATAAACCTTAGCCTTCCGTCGCCGCTGTCACCACTGGAGTTCGCCACCATAAGAGAGGGTCACCACTGCCGCGGCTGTTTTCTTTGTTCCGTCGCTTGCCTATTGGTTTTTCTCCCTAACCAACTCCACAGGCCGACTAGGAACCTCGTTGCGAGCTTCAGAGTGAAATCCGGTCGCCGTCTGCCGCCACACGCGCCACCACCGCCGTCGAGATCTGCTATCGTTTTCCGGCCAGATCTTTCTGCTCCGATCTCCGTTCGAGACGTCATTGCCACCATTGGATTCGTCTCGAGGAGACGCATCTACCTGTGTTTCCCGATCTTCCGTTGGTCACCGGTCAACGCCGGTCAACTTCGCCGGTCAATGGTCAACGTCAGTCAAACCTCCCTTGAGGCAGAATCTCTTGCCATTTTTGGACTTTTTGGTGAAATTTGAAGGTTCTTTTTTGAATTTGTTGCCGAACTTCTCCCCATGGTGTTTGTGTTTTGGTATAACCGTGTTTGTTTCTTTATCTCCGGTATGCCTTATCCCATGGGCCTTCAGTTTCAGCACTATTATAAAGGCCTTTGATTATTTCCCATGTTTCAAGTAAGGGGGAGAGCGACTATCTACAATCGGTGTGTTATCCTTTGCTATTTTGTCTTCATTACTATGGGCTCTATTGCATCCTTTGTTATTCTTTGCTCCCTTTTTGTCTCTACCGCTCTCTTGTGTTATCGGGAGGTTGTTCATGTTCAACTCTATCCTTGGTGTGTTCATCTTCATTCCCGAGGTTCGTGTTCAATTCCGCCCTCGGTGTGTTCATTCCCAAGATCGTGTTTAGCTTCGTCCTTGGTGTCTTCGTCTTTATTCCCAAGGATTGTGTTCAGCTCCGTTCTTGGTGCCTTTGTGTTCATTCCCAAGGAAGGGTCAGACATAGTGCAATCTTCTTTGAAGTCATCCGTCCTAGAGTGCTTATGTTGCTGCGATGGTGTTCGTGTTAGTCTTTACCCTTGGTGCCTCCATTCCCAAGGATGTTCATGACAAGCTTCGCCCCTGGTGCTTTCATTCCAAGGGTTGCATTGTCCCTCCGAAGCCATTCGACACTATTAACCTCTAGTTGCATTTAATTTTCATTTGTAATTTTGAGTGAGGTAGAGTGCTTATTTTAATCCAAGCTTAGAACTTTAATGTTCCAGCTTGAGGGGGAGTGTTGAATATTAGGAAACCTTCATTGAATATTAGGAAACTCCTAGTAGGGTGGGCTTAGTTTCCTAATCCTATTAGGTTAATTTAGTATCTAGTTTAGTATATATAGAGGTCCATAGACATAGAGATATATTCTATTGTAATCTTTCACTATAATATATTCTCTTTATTCTCTTGTTCTTTGGTTCTCACATATTTTGCTTCCGCCTAACTGGCGGGTGGTGGTTATTCTCCACCCGCCAGATCTATCAATCCCTCAATCTCAACACATCCCAAAGCCTCCTAAACAAAGGACTGAAGCTGTGCACACTGCACCCAAGAAAACTCATTTTCCTTTTCCAATACTATCCTCTCTCTCAGCTATATAATCGCTCATTGTTGAGCACTCTCTTCAAATTTTTGAAGGATTATTGGCAGTGGCTGGAGGAAAATAGTTGAGGATCAGGATGGTAATAATAGGGTATATGTTTAATGTTTGTCAATAAAAAGAATACCAGAGCCATTTCATAGATGATTCAAGAGATTGGCTTCTCAAACTGCATGGATCTTTGGGTTTATCATTACATGAGATAATTAGCAAATTGAAAACATAGGAGAGGGGGAAAAGAAAAGTAACAGTCAACACAAAAATTGCTGAAAAGAAAGTTTATGGAAGGACAACATACGGAATTTGGGACCCATCTTCACACTCACTAGGTGCCAATTGCTTCACTAGCGGAGATAGATCACTCTGAAGATTTAAGTGAAATAAACATCAGTTTATGCATTGAAAGCACCACATGCGTAAGGATCCATTAGAACAAAGCTAAGCATTACCTGGATATCATCCATACTAGCATTCAAATGGCTGGAATCTAGTAAAATCTAAAGAAACAGAATTTGTTGCATTATAGATGTCAATATAAAATATGCAAACAAAAAAGTATTGGCTATGTTTTCAACCAAAAAAAAAAAAAAAAAAAATCTGCAAAAAGATTACCATGATTAGACGTGCAGCCTTTGAGTTTTCCACAATAATCCATTGACCTTCTTCTGTAGAGAACAGCCATTCATGAGCTCGAGTCTGAAAACTCAACTTTAGTTAGAATATTTCCCATGAAAATGAGCAAGTGATATCACAACAAAATAAAATACTAGAATTTATGGTTCAAGCAGTGTAGGAAAATAATCAACCATTATAGGAAATCTTTACTACATGTCTACATCTGTAATAAATATGGCATAAATGCCTGCACGTGCATACAGACAATTTTACTGCTAATCAAGCTGTTATTGAAGTCTTTCATTCAAAGTTCATTGTCATCTCGAAGGACAAAGATAGTAGGGAAACACTAAGGCTCAGACACAGAGTGCTTGCAGATTATAGAAATAATTGAACTCCTCTATCCTCATATTAACAAAGATTAATCCTTACTTTCCACAAAACACAAAAAAGTGCTGTTAGAAAATTGCATGACATGTAGATAAAAACAAGCTCACCATTGGGAGTATATCTGTGCATTTGAAGTAGTAAATTTTCAATCAACCAACCAAGAGACTAGTGCAATATTATTTACTATTTAGTTTTTGACACGACAGTAAATGGAGCTGGAACTTAGCAGTTTAACAAACCTTTGGAACAAGAAACACCCCACAGTGATATGAGAACGGTCCAAACTCTTCCCGGGCATCAAGAAGTGCAGCTTTATATGAGAAGCTGGAAATCCCAGGTTCGCCTAAAGTTAGCTGCAGCCGTTGACCTGGATGGAGCTCTGTCAAGTTCCCTTTAGCTCCTAACTTCAACTCTTCAAGTGAGTAGATTATATCCAGGCTATTGGAATATTCTTCACGAATTCTATTTTCAACTTCAAGTGCCTGCCGGAGTCCATCAGCCTATAGTGCAAGGAGCATATAAGACCAAGCTTGATATGAAAAGAGCCAAATATATAAAAACTTTACAATAAGTTAGTCAACAAAATAAACGAAAGAAGGGGAAAGGGAAATTGGATCTTAAGAATCTTGTGTCAACACAAGGTGATTGGAGAAATCAATGAAGAATGGAGACAGTATGCATATTTATCTACCATCAATAGGAATAGTGAAAATATAAGAAGAAACTAGACAACTGGTTTTACCTGATTTCCAGGAGAATGAATAGATGACTGATCAAAAGATGAGAATATTTGGCTCAACATAGAGGACTCATCTTTTTCAACCATTACCATGAAGGTCTGCAGGCTAGATTTGTCAGATGGTTTCTGCGCAACAGCATGAACACTCATTTTCCATCCATAGCGGAACTTCACAAAAAGCACTCCTGAGAAAAGGAGATGAAGTAAGCACTACATAATGAAATGAAAACCATGTTCTATGTACCAACAATCCAAAACAAAAGCTACATAAATTAGAATGTCAGATATAAAATTAGGGGCAAAAAGATGAGATATGGGGGGGAAGACAATGACACTCTGAAGTCCGCATTCATACCTAATACATGAGCTTCTGCCAAGGTGAGACAAAAAAACTTCCCCCCAGATTTTAGCACTCTTTTCACCTGGTGGTTTCCAAAGACAAAATGCCAGGAATTTGACTTCAGAAGATATACTTTAATCGGGAGGTATATTTCTGGAGTACATGCATAAAATTAACATCATAAATTGATAAATTACACTCTCAAGTGTGAGTCCATAATACCTCTGCTAAATATTGATTTCCTAGCTTAGGGCCGAGCTTTGGCTCCATTAAAGCATCCAATCCACCTTTGTCCAGAATAACATCAAAGCTCTCACTTGTAAACTGAGAAGTAACAACTATTAGAGCACAGAGAGCTAGTATATCCTCACAGCTAATGATATTTTCTGCTGCACTGACTGCAAGGAGAAGTCCTTGAGGCAAGGCAAATATTACATTCTCGGAGACACCAAAAACACCAAAGGATCTCATAACAACCTAAAGTCTAAAAAAGCTTCTACACATAGGCTATTGTTAGTCTCACTGAGTCACAGCAGAGAATCTGTTTGCCTAAAAAAATAAAATAAATCTATCTCCCATGAGAGCGCGGTTTGCAACCAACAAGTGATAGTGGTGATAAAACATGAGAGGATTTGCAAACACCGTCAACAAGGCTTAAAAGAAAAAATTCACATAACATGTACAAATATGTTCACATTCATAACATTAAAGTATGATATGGTTTAACACAGATGTTTGACACAATGACACTCAACAATCAGCTGCTCTCTCATCAAAGTTAGAGGGTTTAAAATTTAAACTATTGTGAAACAACCAAGGGAAAGGCTTACTTAGCTTCTTTATGAGTATCATTTCAAAGTCAGTCAAATGCTAATGCTATTAGAAGTGTTGTCTTCGGCTTTGTTGATGATGGAGGATATAGAGAATATAACTTCTCCAAATATAATATCCATTTAGTCACATTCAGTAACAACATCATGATCAATCTATGTACATAACACAGACATTATTGTAAGCAAAGGATAATTATTCTTACAGTTTCTATAAAGTTCAAACAATCTTACCTGCATATCAGTCATGTCCATGACGCGCCACTTCATTTCCGGCCGGTTCCGGACATTCCTCCTCAACATATCAGATATAACGACCTTAGAGAAGTCAATGTTGGTGATATTCCGGTATCCGGCATCGTAAAGGTGTTCGGAGAGCTTGGAGTTGCCGCAACCGGGGACAAGAATCTGAGCCTCTCCGGATAAATGGGGGAGGAGAGGTTCCTGAAGCTGTGGCCACTCGGCATACCATTCGAAGGCATCATCGCTACCTCTGATGGTGAAGAAGCTATCCCAGTTATCTTTAGAGGTGAAATCTCCCAAGGTTTTGAGTAATTCTTCTTGATTGTTCTTCTGGTCTTTCTTCCCCATTTCTTTCTCTCAGCTAACTAGCTAGTAGCTCTTTGACCTTTGTATTATGAGTTCGTTGTGTTTTTAGGGGCGAGGGTTTTGATTTTTGAAGGGTTTTAGGAGATCTAAAATTAAGAAAATGTTGTTTAGGGTGAGAATGTACTATACTTTATTTTTTGATTATGGGGGCGTTTGGTTGGATGAAAAATATTTTTCATGAAAAATGCTTTCTTAAAAGTGAAAGAAAATGATATTTTATGTTGTTTGGTTGAATTAAAAATATTTTTTATTGAAAAAAGTTTTTCTTAATAATGAGGAAAATTAATTCATAGCTCATCCTAAGTATTTTATTTTTCATAAAAAAAAGTTTTTCATAGAAAATTAATATGACAATTTTACCCTAACCATTTTTTACTAATTGCTCTTATTATTACTATATTATTATTATTGTGTAAGGTTATATTTACATTATACTATTATTCTTTATTATTCCAAACAATGAAATTCATATTCTCAGTAAATTTTTTTTTCACAAACTAAACAATGGAATTTATTTTCCATGGAATTTTAATTCAATTTTCCTTCAAATATTTTTTAGCGAACCAAACAAGGAATAGTTAATAGTGGTTCAATGCATTTATTTGATTATATTCCGTTATTCCTTCCCACCAGTTAAGAATTCAAAGAATTGTAATCGTTTAATAGTTAATAGTGGATCAATGCATTTATTTGGTGGTGGAATTCAGATTTGCAATACCTAATAAAGGTATTAATTTTAGCGCGTTTGGTTGACGCAATATTATATTACCTTAGAGAATAAGATTGCTGAAAATGTTAGATTACTATAAATGTGAAATTCATGTATTTGATTTAAAATTAAGATATATAATATAAATTTGTTCCGTTAAAGATTTTTCTTTATGTTATGATAATTATTTTTATTTAAATACTAATACATCTATTTTTATATATTTTAAGAAATTTTAAAATTAAAATAACTGCTAATAGCAATGTGACAATGTGAAAATGTAGTCACTTTTGAAGATGAAAAAAGTATTTCAATGATAAGGATAATCTTTAATATTAATTGATTGATTGATTTATTTATTTTAGTACAAATAAAAATATGACTCTCTGCAACGATACGCTAATAATATCAAGCAAGAGCGTTATAACAAGTATACATAACATTACAAATGAATTTCAATTGCATTATATGTATTCCAAACTATTATGGAAAGTAAAAAAGCATACTTATGATCTAATATTAACTCGACTAATAATCTTGAATGAAATTCACAACATCATCATACACAAGCTCTTTAACATTTTCACCAAACACGAAATCTGCATGTGCATAGTCTTCTATGAACTTGATCAGTAACTTATCACCATGATGATCGTGAAGTTGGTCCAACAAAGTTTTAACGTCGTTAACGTCGGATAGATAGTCTTGCCCACCATAACCGAGGAAAAGAGGGAAGTCGTCGGGGATGTTTGCCATGGCGTAAGCTGGGGGAGTGGGTTGACCATAGTGCTTATTGTTTTCGTTCTCGCTTCCATAATCATACATTGCTATGCTCCCTTCTCTCACCACTGCACCAAATTAGACCAAACGACTTATGGTGTGCATATTTATTTATTTATTTATTTTTGAGTTCTACTAACTCATATCATATATACCAAACATGTACCCATCTTAATTAACTTTGTGTATGTTGGGTGGCTTACTTTGTGCTATGTGAATCAAGTTCTTTGTAGCGGTGGATTGAGGTTCATGCTCCAGCAATATAACCATCGTCGAGGAATTGACACAACAATTTGGACCTATTCAGAATACCAATTAATTTACTACTAATCAACAATATAATTCAAGTTAATGTAATAGGAAAATGTCAATTTAGTATAAGAATGATGATTAGATGTTAAAAAAAGAAAGAAGTTATGAAAATATGTGTGCAAATTAAAATATTTCGAACTCTTGTAATTCATTGTTTGGTTTGCATGTTTTTGAATCATTCCTGTATAGAATTTAGTAATTGATATTTGCTAACATTTTGGATGTTATCTATCAGAGGATTCAGAGGTTTATGTGATTTTTTTTTTATTGTTTAAATTACTTCCTAGGTATACAAACAAAATATTATTTTGTTTACAAAAATGTCACTATTTCTTGACATTTTTATTATTCATCAATCATTATTGTAAATTTTTTCAAATATAGTAATATAGGAAATGTTCCATAATGCGGTGTTGAATTTCAACTATTTTAAAAGCAAATCATATTATGGAAGACTTCTCAATGAATATTATTTCACTTGATAGACTTGCTTCTATTAAAATATTTATGAAATTTTTCAGATATTTATACTCAAATTAGTTGAATTTTATACTATTATTATATCTCCATACTACACATCCCTACTTTTATTACTCACAACACAACCACTTCCTACCACATAAAATTAAAGATTACAAATAGAAAATTAAATTTTAGAAAAGGAGTTCAGTGTCTAATATTCACGGCTGAAAATTTCGCTATTTCCGTCTAATATTTCCTTCCAACAATAATGTTGGTCGGTAATTTGTAAAAAATCACAATTTTTTGTCGCAAATAGCAATGGACGGAATTCTGTCCAACAATTGCGCGTTGGACGGAAGTTTCGACTGACACTAAATGTTGGACGGAAATTCCGTCCAATGGTTACGTGTTGGACGGAAACCCGAATTGACTGGTAGGTGAAATGCAAAATGATAGGTATTATTAAATACCGTCGACACATTGTTGTTGGACGGAAATTGGACTATTTAAGCCTAAACCTGCATATTTAAACTCATTTTCTTCAATTGTCCACCATTTTTTACTTCCTTCTCCATTGTAAAACTTGCTTATTTGTTCGAAATTAGCATGAGTAACAACGTATAATAGAGTGATTTTTTATAAAGTATATTTCAAATCCAGGTATGAGTTAAAAATAATAATTTTTACTTTGTGTTTGTGTTTGTATATATGGACATACACTTGCAATGTTATTATATAAACTCCTTTATTGCCATATAATTATTTGTGAATGGCAATTATAATGATACTTACCATTTTCCTATATATAATTTAAAGACTTATTTGGAGTATAAAAGCTACCAAAATATATAGATGCATATAGGAGCAATATGAACACTAGAGTGTACTAAAATCAAACAAGTTAACTATATACCGGTAAATGAGCTCATCAAGTCGCTGCAATTGTTGTTTGATTTTTTACAGATATCTTCTAAAACTTTTGTAACAGCTTCTCTGATAACACAACAATAAACAAATGTAGAAATTGAAAGATACATTGTTAATTAATTACTCCATATAATATATCAGAGAAAATGTAAATTGCATCAAAAATTTGTATGAGTTATGTGATTGGTTTGTGATAGTATTATCCATTATAAAATAATTAGGGAAAATCAAGGTTAGATCATTACAAATTTATTAATGTAATATTTTTTTTTTCAAAAAAAAAAACAAAAAACAAAAAGAGAATAAGATTAGTTAAAACCCACCCTCTAGGGTCGAATTCACGCATCCCCGTCTTATACAAAGCCTACAATTTAAATAAAACACAAATATTTAGTTTTTAATATATCATAAATTAATGCAACATAGTCAAATTAAAGACAAATAATTACTCCAAAAGAATGATAAAATTACACTTTTTTGTCATTACTTTTAATGCATTAATCATATTTATTGTCACTTTTTATCCCTCAATAATTATTTGAGAAATCATATCAAATCATATCATTTTTTTAATACCGAATTCAATTAGGGTTGAATTTTAAAAAGTTACTTTAAAAATAATTGAGTGATGAAATATGGTACGGTGACGATATAATTGAGCGAGAAAAGTATTGTTTTTGTATAATTCTAAGAAAAAAAATGTCATTTTACCATTAAAAAACTGGAAAATAAATAAATTAAGATGCTCACTTCAGCTATATAAGCATTAGCCGCGAATTTGGCAATAGATGACCTCAGTTGCGCCAAGTAAGCAATAGGACTGAGGAGAGCTGCCGATCTCAATAAATTCAATAGCTTATGTTCCGAAAGGGCAGAAAATGCAATCAAAGTTCCCTAACAATATTATACAAATGATGTTAAAAACCGGCTAGGATAATTTTCTCAAGTGTTCATTTTTATCGTTTGTCAAACAATAAGTGAACCAGATAACTCATTTCGTTATTAAGCAGTCCGTTTATACGTTTGGTAGTTCAGAATGATTTGACAACTCTCCCTCATGACTTTATTATTAGGTAGTAGAGAAGACGATATATATTGTCACTTGATTAGACAATAATCAAATTAGAAAGTTGGGTGAAATTAAATTAGCCTGCACACGATTGGATCGGAATACTATATATAATCGTTTTACTTCATATAATTACCAGAGAGTGGCCAACATAATGCATATTCTGGCCAGTTTGATCATGAACATACTGCAATGTAGCAGGCAAATCATAAGCCACCAATTCATCCCACGACCACTCCCAATAGTCCTGGATTTCATCAAGCCTAAACAAATTAACCAAATCTTAAAACACAATTAATTGAAGCATGTGTGCTCCATCTTAACTAAAAGTCTTAGCTGATAGTTGGATTGCACGCACATTAATGGTTATATACTCAACACGCCCCCTTACATATGCGGTGGGTTCCAAGCAACACGTGAACCGTAGTCGCTTATCAGGTGACGTAGGTATCAAGTACAATAAGGTATATCAGTACTAAACGATAATGTAAAAGTTTAATTAATTAAGAAGGAAACAAAACATTGTCATTAGGGCTAAGTGATGTGTGGCCGCGACTATAGTTGGTTCCCCGCGTGTTGGCTAGCCAAACATCATACCCATCATCCGCTAGGATAAATGCCAAAGATTCAGTTGGAGGGTTCAACACCCAAGTTACTGCATCCTGCAAATTTATACAATTATATAATATATATATAGCAATAAATAATACGTAATATATACTTGTAGCAACTATATAATCCTTAATAATTAATTAAACGTGAAATAAACTCATATAATGAAAATTGATAGATTCATATAATTAACCTCTTGAATCGCATTCAAAAAAAAAAAAAAAAAAAAAAACCTCTTGAATTGAATATACCTGAACTAAATTATATGAAGTTTGAACAACAAATGAACCCACATACGTGAAAAGTTTTATTTTTTATTTAAAAAAAAATATATAAAACGTGGGTTCTCATAGAAACCGATGTTAAAAGATAATATTTTTATGCTACGTCGGTTCTTCAAATTGGAAATCGCCATAAATAGGGTTACGTAATATTCTTTTTTGTAGTAGTGAAAATTTAAGAACAAGTATTAAATATAACCATATTACGCACCATAAAGAGCCCATGTTGTAAAAGGACGGGAGGCTTAGTTGCTTTGTTGCCTGAAATTCCCACCGGAATTCTTTGCAGGCTAAGAATATAACCATCTTCTGTCGTCACCTGCCGACCGAAAATAATTAACAAACAAAAAATCAACCTACACACACACACACACACACATATATATATATATATATATATATATATATATATATATATATATGAATTAAAATAAATTCCGATCCAATATAATGCTACATTACACACTTTGTGTTCTTGGCAAGTATATCCTTGTGATTCCACCATTGAATTACAAATCCCATCTCCGCCGTCGAACGCCGCCGGGATAGTTATTGTAGCTGCTATGGAGAACAATAGAAGCACTAAAATGGAAAGGATCAATAAAAGTTTTCCCATCTGATATTTCAATGTATATATATTATATATATAATCGATGCTTCTGCCTAATTAGTATGTAGTGTGTGTAATTTCGGATTTATATATACAAGTTTGTGCTGATATGAAGACAGAAAGGAGTATTGTATTGCCCATGTTATGATGATAAGAGCAATGCTGTATATATTAATTGTTTGGTAACGAGACAATTAAAAACAATCAATTTATGAGTATAAATATGGGTCACATTTGATGTAACCATATTAATAGTACAATTTTTAATATAATAATTTGAAATAAGTAGTATTATTATATTTGTTATAGTGAACTAAGTGAAGGAGTTGAATTTGAAATTTTGTGATTAAATAAACATGATATAAAACGGACAGGAGGGGTATAATAATAAGTGTGTATCATTCCTTTGAATTTTTCTTTTTAAAAGGATTCCTTTGGATTAATCGTCCGATGAAACCAAATTATTTGTGATATATAATATTTTATGTGGTTCAGTTCATGTCATATATCATTCAGTATTTCTATAAAACTTTGGCATTTTGTTGCTGTCACGGTTTCTCCGATCCTTAATCTTTTCACATTTTTAATCTTTTGTGTTCAAACTTTTGCGATGTAATTTGATAATCTAATTATATGCAATAATTTGGATAAAAATATAATAATGCTCTTTATAGTTTTTAATGAACCAATCTCACCATAAAACGGGGTTGACATAATAAAATAGAAAATAGGGATGTAAAAAGAGCAATCCGAATCAGGGTCACCGTGTGTGTATGTGTATGTGTCTTATTTTATGAATTTTTGTATCTTTTATTATGAAATTATGTACCTTAACATAGTGTTGGTTGAAGGGAATTTAAATTCCCTTCTCACTACCAGGACTATGTGGTCTAATGGTATCCGGGTTGGACTTGCATTTGGAAGGTTGTAAGTTCGAGCCTCAGTGGAGGTGTTATTAGCTCTCTGTGTTTCAGTAGGTTGAGAAAGTATATGAACAGATACTACAATGTAATAGAGCTAGTAGCATTAAAAAAAAAAAAAAAAAATTCCCTTCTCACTTAATTCCCACCTAATTCCAAAGGCCACAAAATTCCCTTGTTTGGTTGAAAGAAATTGCAATTCCTCCATTTTCATGGAATTAAAATCCCATGCCCCCCTTGAGATTTTAATTCCTGGGATTTTAGAGAGAAAAAAAGATAGTGATGAGTCAAAATTTCCCATTCCTTTTTTAACCTAAAATTAATGCCTAACAACAATAATGGACATTTTTGATTTATACTACTTATTCCCTTTCAATTCTCATGTATACCAAACATTGGAATTGAAATTCCCAATAATTCTATTCATGTAAACCACTGTAATTTAAATTCCCACTTTATTCCCAGTAATTCATCTCCCATAGAATTGCAATTCCTTTCCCACGTAATTCCACATTTCCAACCAAACGCCCTGTAAGAGTATGAACTCTGTACCTGGAAGTCTGAAACAAATTAGTAATCGTGTTTTATGTTATGAATTTTTGTATTTTGTTTTGTGAAATTTTGTACCTATGATTTATGAACACGAAATATGTATCTAAAATCAGATTTTAAAAGTAAATATGTGTCTTGTGTTGTACTTTTTGTGTCTTTTGTTATGAGATTATGTGTCTTACGAATATGAATTCTGTACATTGTTATTTCGATCTATAGTCTATAATGTTATATGGACCTTGATCCATGATAAAGTTATATTTAGAGTAAATACCCAAAATGGTCCCTCGACTATAGCTAAATTCACAAATTGGTCCTCGACTTTCAATTTCAACCAATTAAGTCCTTAACTTTGTAATTTTGACACGATTTGGTCCTCCATCTATTTGACCGTTTGTTGACCGCGATCTTTGAGGATATATATGTAGTTTCACGTGCAAAGCTCAAGAGAACGCTCTTGGAGGTGACATCGTTGTTTCGGAGGGGGGAGTGCTTCTCCGCTTGCTGCTTGGGGATCACGAGCCGGTTCAGCTTAGAGAACGCTCTTGGAGGTCACAGCGTCGTTTCAGATGGGGGAAGTGCTTCTCTGCTTGCTGCTTGGGGATCCCGAACCGGTTCAGCTTGCTTACATCGCTTGGAGTTACGGCTTTCTCGAAGAGCCACTCCAGGGACTTCGGCGATCTATCTATCAAAAGCTATAATCTCTCCGGCATGGGATGCAGCGCCGTCAGTGGATTCAAATGTAACAGTGCGGTCTAGAAATGCAACCGGAACCTTAAAAAACCGACGATGGACCATGAAATTACATATATATCCTAAAAAAGCGCAGTCAACAAACGGTCAAATAGACAAAGGACCAAATTGTGTTAAAATTGCAAAGTTAAGGACTTAATTGGTTAAAATTAAAAGTCGTGGACCAATTTGTGAATTTAGCTATAGTCGAGGACTATTTTGGATATTTACTCTTATATTTATAGGCCCAAAGCCTTAAAATACAACATTGGGTTGCAAGATGAAAAAAATTAACAATTCATGCCCAAAATGATCTCAACCTACAAGGTACAAGCCCATCCAAGGAAGCTAACTGGAGGAAAGTATCAACCACTAAAACATACCACTAAGTCCAAATGTAATACATATTGGAGATGTTTGGTTGAAGAAGATAACGTGGGAGGCAATTCCAGTCAAATTGATTATTGTTTATTGGTCTTATTGATTTGACCTAATTAGCTATGAATAACCTAAACTAGTTTACCCCATTGCTACTTTGTAGCCTTTGTCTGCCCAAACAGCCCCAACAAATACAACCAACCAATGGGCGAGGCCGCCTCAATCACCTTTCCCCTATTTGTGGCAAGTGCCTCTACCGTGGCAAATTATAATATTATATTGTGAATCATTAATAAATGTTCATGATTTGTGTATTGAAGGTTCATTATTAATAGTATATTAAATAATAAACCTTTAATACATAAATAATGTACCTTAAAAAATAAACATTTAGTGCATTAAAAATGTACATTATGACCTTATGTCAATTGTTCACCTTACAAGGTGGACCATAATCCATGATATAATAATTGCCTATCCGGTGGGTGTCCCTTTTTGTACTTGCCAAATGCGCCCTTAATCTCTTTCATAAAAAGACCCACAAAAATATTTATTGGACTCTCAATCACTTGCATAAAATCGCAAACCTCTTCTGCCTTTTATACATCGACATTTAGACATATATGAAGAACCTCTCTCTCTCTCTCTCTCTCTCTCTATATATATATATATATATATATGGTAGGGAATACTCCGACCGACATGCCTTTGTCTTTTATTCTTGTATATGCAGGTTACAGGTCGGACTTTCTTGGAAGAACCTGGTCGTGCCCGACTGGGTTGGTACCCGACCGAGGTCTTCGTTACCCGATTGAGAGCCCTTAGGTGCGAGAGCCACCAGGAAGCACGTGGCGGCGTTAGGCGTTGACAGGCAAGGCTTACGGGGTGAAGACACGTCATTGCTACGTGGATGACATGCCGAACGGTCGGACTTGTGTCTCTGGCCCAGCGGCTATAAATACCCGCGGTGGCAACAGTGTGAGGGACTTTTGGACGATCGAAAGGCTATTGTTAGAGCATCCCGACCGCAGTCAGTCTGGTCTTATCTTAGTTTAGTTACCGCTTACGTGGCAATTAACACTATCAATATATATATATATATATATATATATATATATATATATATATATATATACACATGATGGGTTAAGTGAAATTACTAATTACCAATTTCAACAAATATCCGAGTGTATGCATGACAGATTGAAATTGTCACCTTAAATTCAATGTTGACACCATCCACGAGCACCACGAAAATCCCATAGCAATTTTTTTTTTTTTTTTTTTTTTAATATAAGAGTACCAAAAAAAAAAAAAATTAAAATGGGGATAAGTAAGAGCAGAAGGCATAACGAAGAGGTTACCAATTACCATGCGCACGGCAAGAAAATGTTGTCATTTACTCCGTACGTAATTTCCTTCAACCCTAGATTTGCACTGTGAGAACTGAGAAGAAGACAAAGGAGGAGAGAGAAGAGAATACAGATCGTGTGTGACTGGGAGTATGTATGTATGTATAATACTATATTACTATTATACATAGATTCATATACGCAATTGTCTTCCAAATCTCTGGATTAGTTACAGAGAAGGGATTTGTACTAAGATTATAACAGCTGCTTAGATCTGATTTTGAAAGGTTAGCGTCTCTACTCTTTTGTCTTTGAATTTCTCCCTCCCTCTCTATGTATCTGGAGGTATACATGCCTCTGTTTTCACGCCTTTTGGACAATATATGCGCATGCTTGTATCTCTGCAGTTTATGTGGATTTGGTTTTGCTCTGGCTGGCGATGTGCTGATGTCTTTTTCCCCGATTTTTCTTGTTTGTCTTTGGGAATGCAATTGGATGTCTCCCTTCTGTCTAAGTGTTCTGTTTGATGGTATGTTAAGTGTTTGATTGAATGCGTTTTCTCCTCTTAGATTTGGATTTTGTAAACTGGGAATGTTGCTAAAGTTAGTTGAGCCAAATGAATTGAAGTCAATAGGTAAGTACATATGGATGGAGTATTCATTATCAATGGAGGTCAATATTTTTTGGATGCCTTGTAGTGCTTAGTTATGGAGGGAGATCATGTGGAAAGTTTTTTCCCCACTGTAACTCTTAAAGAGGAATATGAGGACAGATGGTTCTGAAGAGTGAAGAGGATATAGCTTCTCTTTTTTTGAATTTTTATGTAAGAAGTTTTAGCTGAGAATGCCTGTTAAAATTGGAAATGTTTTGATTCAGCATTGATTATTTTGGCTTTGAGAATGATGCATGTTTTCTTATGTATATAAGACTATGGTGTTTACTGTTTAGAACTTCCATAAAGTGATATCTTTAATTCATTACTATGTTTTTCTTTCCATAACTTTGTTGCTTAATTTGGTTCTCTGGTTGTGCTTTCTATTGGCCGCAAGTTTTGGGAATTACTGATACTGAAAATTACTTTCATCTAGCCATTTTCATTTCAGGTGCATATTCTGAACAATGGCGGATGGCATATCAAGCTTTTGGGGCCCTGTGACGTCTAAAGAATGGTGTGAACCAAATTATGTCTACTCTCCTTATATTGCAGAATTTTTCAACACCATCTCAATTGTCCCATGCATTCTTTTGGCTCTCATTGGTCTTGTGAATGCCTTACGACAGCGATTTGAGAAAAGGTTTAGTGTCCTCCACATATCAAACATGATTCTTTCCATAGGAAGCATGGTTTATCATGCCACACTGCAAAGGATGTAAGAATGTCTCCTTATACTTGGTGGCTTACATATAATTTGTTTCTGCCTTTTGACAAATGTTCTCATTATCAAGAAATTTATGAGTTGCTTGAACATGATGCAACAAAAGCTTAATCCATTTATTAGGGGAATGTACCCACAGACACTATGCAGGCCCATAATGGGTAGTCTTGTTACCAATAAACTGTGTAGTTGATTTGTTTGGTGGAGTTTTTTCTTAGACATCTTGCTTTTGTTATAGTTGGGGTTGGAAGGTTAGGTGATTTTAATGAGAAGTCTGTAATTATCAAAGTAGGTTGTTGACAATGACCAAGGAAAAAGTGCATTCTAATTTTATAACTTCTGGTGTATAGGGGGAGGAGATGAACTGGTTTTCTTGGAACCATCACCAATCTTCTACTTTTAATTGTCAGTATATTCTTTTTCTTTTTCTTTTTACAGAGTGCCCTAAGCACCATTGATAAGGAAAATGATGCCTTAACTTGATGATGATGAGAATGGGATCAAATGAATTTATTGGGGCAATTGTTAATTATCCGCTTATTATTGTTAGTGTGTAAAACAGAATCAATTTTACTCAATGAATATATCTCATTGAGTCTTTTCATATGTCATCCATGGTGTTCTCATTTCCTTTACCTATTAATCTTCTCTGTCAGAACAGTGATATGTTGAGCATGAATTGTAATCTTTGTTGTTCATCTTTTAATTGCCCGTGAGATTGTGTAAGAAAGGCTAGATATGTTTAGTCTTTGGCCCCATGACTTCATCTTTTATAGTACTCCGTATTAGAAAAACTTGTGTCTTTCAAGAATTTATTGATTGAGCTTTTGTGTTTAACTAATAATTTGTGACTATGTTTAATGATTGTCTAATAACTGAAGTGTCATACATGACAGGCAACAACAAGGTGATGAGACACCAATGGTGTGGGAAATGCTTCTCTATCTTTACATTCTCTACTCACCAGATTGGCATTACCAGAGTACAATGCCTACCTTTTTGTTCATATATGGAGCGGTGTTTGCCATCGTGCATTCACAGGTTCGCTTTGCAATTGGTTTTAAGTTGCATTATGCATTATTGTGTATTCTATGTGTTCCCCGTGCATACAAGTATTACATCCACACAGAAGACCGATTGGCAAAGCGTCTCGCAAAACTATACTTGGCCACTTTAATGGTTGGGAGTGCATGCTGTTTATCTGAACGCCTGTTTTGCAAGGATATTTCAACGTGGTCCTTCAACCCACAGGGTCATGCCTTATGGCATGTGTTGATGGGGTTTAACTCGTATTTTGCAAACACATTTCTGATGTATTGCCGTGCTCAGCAACGGGGGTGGAATCCAACAATCAAATACCTCCTGCGTTTCCTCCCCTATGTGAAAATTCAAAAGCCAAAAGTTCAATAGCTCTTCAAGCCAAGCCTTGTGAATGGAATGGAATGGAATGCCCGCCAACTCAAGCAGCCATAATTCTTTTTGGTTTTACCTTTTTTGAAGTGTGTTGTAAATGAAATTCAGAATAGTTTTGGCTGGTTCTAGCAGTCCTTAATTTTGACTGTAAATTTAGATCTCTTGGTGTACCATACATATATTCTACCATAGAAGATTACATACAAATATACAATAGACTGACTGACTAGTTGGTTCTTTTCAACTTCTTAGTCTTTTGAAGGTTGAAATATTCTTTTCCTAATTTTGATCTTTATACAACTTAATTACATGCTGTTTCAGTATAAGATGATAGTTAGATACAAACTCCAAATCTTTATTATCTTCAACTTTGATCAAAACTACATTTGATAAGAAAAATAAACAAGAATACCAAAACTGCATTGTATGTTTGGAATTTTAAAACACTAAAACATAGCAGTTCTGGTTCTGTAGCACCAATAGGCCAACTACTCTTTAAGTTGATGAAATAAACAACCGATTATAAAAAGATTCAGAGGGGAGTGGGTTTACAGGAGGCATCAAGTAACTTGGCCTCCAGGTCCTCCTCATCAATCCACAACGAACTTTTTCGACGCAAAAGCTCATTCCCCTTTGTCTTCTTTTCTTTAATTTTAGTTTCTCTCATCCTCCAGTATTCAAGCTTCTCTTGTCTTTCTTTTAGCTGCATACATCACCGAACAAAGTACTATGAAACATCAGAGTCAAAAGCCAAAGCTATAAACATCACAGAAGCTTTGCAATCCAAGAAAACTTGGTAAATACACCACAGTTGTGAATATGTGATTACAAATTGTCCAGTATATGAACATCAGTCTAGAATTATAGAATGCTTATTTCTTTTGTTTTACTAGAGCTATCTATTTCAATTCTCTAGCTGATGATGAGGTCATTGGATCAAGCTCCATAAACCCTTTGTTCAAGCTTTCTTTCTGTCTCCCCTTAATACACCCAAATTATTAGCGATCAAGCAGCATTACCCATTTCTCCCTTCCCTATATTTCTTCGCAGTTTCTTGTATCTATAAGACTTCCAAATCCATAACCTAGCAAGTTCAACCTCACACCACTATGGAGGTGTTTGGTAAATAGCTGTTAGCTGTTAGCCGTTGATAAGTTGATAGTATTATCTGATTGTAGAAATATGTTTAGTAATTACATGCAAAATGACTTTCTCAAAAAGCTTATCGAAAAAGCTGTATTTTGAATTTTAGCATTTTGGAGCAATAAGCTTTTACAAAAAAGTCAATAATCACACACTCAATGGTCAAATAAACCAAAATTAGCTAATAAGCTAACTATGTTACCAAACAGGGCCTATGTGTTCAAATCTAGTACAGTAAAAAGCCTAGAACCAATGAATAGTATCATATAAGTCTCTTTTGACTTCTGTAGAAGGAATTTGCTTACCTTCAAAATTAGGTGGGAATTATGTAGGAGTGGAATTCTAATTCCCTCCAACCAAATGGGCTGTTTTAGTGTTTTCTATCCTTATTCTTGAACACCCAACACCAAATAGAGTCCCCAAATGCTTAGCAAGGGTCCCTTCCCTCCATCCAATACTACCAATTTATTAGTGAAAAAAAGAAGGAATACTAGGATCACCCTTCCATTAACTATTCTTCCTCGTTTCTTGCAATCGTGCACCTTGAATCCATCATCTATCCAAGTTCTACCTTGCTCGACTTATAAAACCCATGTAACATTCTTCAGTGACAATAACCAAGATACCTATAATCCCCCGTAACAACATTCTCTAGTGCTAATAACTAATACACCTAGGAATCCCAGAGCACCAAAATCTCAGTTTTGAAAGTTGCATAAACTTATATTTACATTTTCTACTAGAGTTAGAAAATTGAAGTAGCAGTAATATGGAAGAATAATACTCTTATTATGATAAGATAGTTGAATAGTATTGGGTGAAAATAAGATAGTGGATTCACATACGAGAGTTCGGCGGAATTCCTCTTCAAAGATGGCTATCTCTTCAGCCTTGGCCTTCTTCTCAGCGGCTTTAGCAGCCTTCCGCTCCTCATTTGCGATCCTCAAAGCTTCCTTCTTGGCCTCGGCTTTTCTCAGCTTTTCGAGCCGCAGGACCTCCATCTCCTTGATGTAATCCTTGCGGACCACCTTGACCTTCTTGGCATACTCGCGGCGGAGAAGCGCGAGCTGGGCTTCCGCCTCCTTGGGATCCCTCGGGGGCTTCCACGAGTTCAGGTACTCGCTCGGCGCCAGGAATTTGTGGCTCTGCTGGTGGAGATTCTTCTCCAACGCCGCCTGGGTTTCGGCGGTGGCGGAAAGCGATCGGAGATGGTGGAGCTTTAGGGCTTGGGTGGAAATGGGGTTCCGAAGAAGATGCCGGGAGAGCGACATTTGGTTGAAAGGTAATGCCGCTGCTCAGATCGATAAAACCCTAGCGAGCAGTGATAAACTGAGAATGGACAAAACTCTGGATACTTCGAGAGATTGAAGGATAAATTTTCATAATAAAACAGTACTAATATAACCTCTTAAGAATTAACCTATGAGTAGTCGTGCACTATCTCGAATTATTTTTGCATGACAATTGACAACAATAACTCACAAGTCACACCTACTATTTGAAAACGTATATGAAATAAACTTGCCTTTATAACCCAAGATAACCAATACGATCAATGATAAAAATAAACTCAATCAAGTTAATCAAGCTGTTAAGTCGATAATAAAAATATTTTAAGTTTAATTATGAGCGGTCTATTGACATTTTTTTGTTTGAATCATTTAACTATGACGATAGATAACCTAAATTAGTTTACATCTTTGTAGTCTTTTATCAATTACCTTGTACACATGACCGACCAATGGTCAATTGGCCATGTGCACAAGGTAAATATTCAAAATTATCAATAAGAATTGAATCTAAATTATTTTATACATAAGAAATTAAGAAGTATCAGTTAATCCAATTTTGTTAGCATTTTGAATAATTATAATATCATTTTTTTTGTACTCAGGGTTTTCGCTATCGAACAAGTGACTAATCTCTACTAAATTAATTATAATATCATATATAAGTTCTCATTGAAAAAGAAAACTCTTTACTAAAAAATTATCCCAAGAATCACCTAAAATTCATAAGTTTTGTTTAATTAGCAATCACATGGTGTAGAGTTCAAATTCTATCAAATGACCAAAGAGGGACATTTAGTTGAATCACACTGCCATTTACTTCTTCCACCAATCTCTGTGACAGAAATCATGAGAGCCCTTAAATTTACGGACCAAACTTATTCCAAAGAATCACCTTGTTGCTGAATTAGACTAGTCCAACAATGATGAGATCGATAGTACTACTTCAGAAAATTTACAAACAATCCATAATAATACAGATATGAAAGTTGAAACCATACTAGCCAATCAATCAATATGAATGTTAATAGATACGAGTACTTCCGTACAGAAACATAAATCTCTATGATTTCACATCATTTCTGGCTGTGATATTGTAGATCATCACAGTTGTCTTCTTGTAATTGCATTCAGGTATCCTGTCAAAAGCATTAGTATTAGTATTAGTATTAGTATTAGTATTAGGGAACTTCTGGGGCAATATTTGGTTCAAGGTATATAAAACGATGCAATATCAATCAATGCATATAAAACGCCATAATGTCTACGAGGGCATGATATAAAGTGTGGTATTAGTCCTTCTGGCATTGCTCGAGGTATGAACTTCGTAAGGAAAGCAATAAAACATCCAAATATTCAATACCTGTGTTTGTAAGGGCTGATCGGGTTGTTGATCTTGTGCCACGGGATATGCCTGTGATTGGGACATCCGGTAGTATGGCGATTTGAGATCAAGTTTGCCAAATGATGTATGAAGCATCTCTCCAACAACGGCTAATTCAAATTGATCTGAACTGTTAGATTACAAGAAACGAGGGCCAATTCCAAAAACTATCGCAGATATGATGTTACAGTGCATCACTGACATACCTGATAACGTTAGATAAATCGTATAACTCTGAGCCTCGTGGGCAACAAGGTGAAGTTGCCCGGTTATCTCCTGTCCGGGCATGACATAAAGTGGTTGAGCCAGGACACAGCGGAGCTGGTACCAGTGTGTTGTGGGTGCACCTGGAGCGGTGGTCAGCCACCTTTGTACAGTGCTGCAAAAGGATAGATAATAGGTTTATGTTAAGTGGGAAGTCGCAAATAAATGGCCAACTATGACTGAACAAGGAACACGGCAAGAAAGACTTTCGTACCTCCCATTAAATAATACATCAAACCAGCAAGCTAACCCATGAATTCGTGTGCTTACAGAAGATATGAATCTCAATGGGATGTCAATTTCATATAGTTCTTCTTCCTGAAGACAAATGCAGAAGACTCCAGTTAGAAATGGTAAATCCACAAGAGAACATATCCACAATGAGAAAAGGTAAACCTTGATTGACAATATACTATAATGGGACGACAAATACAAATACAGATGACAGACTCAATCTTTAAACTGTGACATATGGCATTGGGTTCATCCCGGGATTGCTGAAAGTCAAGCACACTTAACCACAAAGTTCTATGGTACCTGGTTGCCATATCCTACTTAAAATCAATTGGTGATAAGTAAGTGGACATTAACCATTTAACCACATCCCTCCATGGTAAGCCACAACGCCACGTCACCAATCGAGCAGGGCTGAACTCGGCCAACGCCCAACAGAAAGCCAAGATGTAAATAACAATTTTAGCAAATACCTTTATTGAAGCGAAGTCTATCGAATGAGATATGGCAGGAGCTACCAATAACCTTGGATCAAAAGCATCAACTACAGGCTTTAGAGAACATGAAATAGAAAGATTAGATAGAGTAGAATAACAAGGGATCTTTTACCAGAAGTTGTAAATATTTGAAGACAAAAGAGCAGGATCAAGTATATATCACATAAAAGTAGAAACTTTCAAGTGTTAAGAATGACCTGTGCAAAGTATCCTACGTATGCAGATCCCTGTAAGGTTGATAAATTGACCCCAAAGTAGTTATCTTGCTGCCAAAATACAGCCTGAATAATAATAATAATAATAATAATAATAATAATGAAGACAAGGATTAGATTATTCTACCTTGACTGGAAATTTTCATGTTATGGATCAAGATTTTTTTGAGTCATACCAGTGTGGAAAATAATATGTTCTTTTCAAGAAATTAATGTTATTATAGATAAATAAATCTATGCGAGAAAGCTGCATTGTCTCCATAGTTTAAAACACACCTTATTAGCTATTTCCAAATATAAATATTCATCACTGAATGGTGCCATGTGTATTCTGCAAGTGCAAATAGAAATCCTTAGTGAGGATACAAATGATCGAAGAGTTGTAAATAGAAAAGGCCCTCTTCTACTTCAGTGATTTATAACTCATTACTTGGATAACAGTCTTATTAGCTCTACTTACCACTTACTAGCATAATCATATATCACCTCATTAAGGGCAAAGATAATAGCATACACTTCAATGATATTAGAGTATCTATAACATAGAACTGGACAAAAGACATATCAGTCGATGGTGAAAAACATAATACAGAATAGCTTATTTTATATGTTAATTAGGGAGTTTACAATGTGTGGAGAATAGAAAGTTGCAACGACAGTTAGAATGGTGAAGCAAAGTATTGTGCAGGAATTTTTTTTCTCTTCACTATTAGATAAAAAGCAGTGTTGCAAAAATCACGCCTATGCGCCCTAGGCGGTCCCCATATGCCTAGCGATTTTTTCAACATTGATAAAAAGTGATTCTAATTACAAAGAATGCATGGTGCTAATGATGAATCCTTGACAACTAGTCAACGTCATGGCTATATGGATAAGCGATGCCTGAATAAAGACAACATAATAGTATGAATTACAACTACCTCCCCTGTGTAGGAAACATTTTTCCATCTGGAGCAAGAAATCGATCTCTTGCAATCACATAAGACTCTAGCATTCTTTCATTAACTAGTAAAGTGCCTGTAAGAGTATAATATATTTGACGAGTTTAGAATGATTCATTGCAAGTGTAGGAGAAAGTGAAGTAAAATAATTTCAAGATATAGACTATAGAAACACATAAACCACAGAGAAAGGAGAAGAAATAGGCTTTAATTTGAATGTGTTCCTTTTGGGACTTCGATTTCCTTAATATACATCTCAATACCAAACTTAGGCCATGAAAAACAAACACAATTTTCATAACAAAGCATTGACCAAGGATATCTATAACAAAAAAACAAAAAATGTGACATAAAAGAAATTGTCATCGCCCATGCAAACGAAAGAAACAAAAAATAACAAGAAAAGTTTACCCATTGGTTCAGATATCAATATATCAGCTTTCTCGGGTAACTCAACATCTTCAACCTTTCCCTTTATTACCTGCATGTTGAAAGGAAAGTAAAAAACCGAAATGTACTGGGTTAGAAAGTGATTATTGTGGAAACTTAATAGGAAATAGTGTAACGGTGTACAACATACAAGGGTAAAGTGTTCCGCAAGAATGCTACAGAAACCAGTGGAAGAATACTAGTAAAGAAATCTATTGACATCATGAACACATACCTTATTTTCATTAACTTCTTGAATGAGTATCGGTTTGAGGATATTAAAAAAAAAACGGAGTTATATTTGCAGTATCTGAAAACTGTTGTTATCTTTTTAAGATATAGGCTTCTGGAGAATTACTAATCACATCAGCTGCTGATGACCCTAGGCCCAATTTATAGAGGCAAGACATCCCTGACATCAAGGGTTTGATTTTTGAGCACCATTAGGGTGTGGGGTAGAGTTTAGTCCTTCAATATAGAAAGTAGTTCTTCCCCGCTTATTTAGGGGTATCATATTTGTTAATTTTGGTGTGTTCATAGGTTGATTAATATTGGAATTGAATTGAATTCTATGCTAGTTGTTTTCAGAAAAAAAGGGAAAGCCATTAAAGGTAAGACTTCACTGTGATTCTTTCCGCCAGTAATGGATTCCCAGCAACTAGTTTTCTTGCATATTCTGCCATTTCAGATGCCTCGACAGCATAAACATGTTTTGCGCCAGCCTAAGAGAGGGACAATGGTAGAGGAGGAAGAACAAACACATTTATCATCAAAACTGGATATAATGATGCTTAGCATCACAGAATGCAATTAGAAGTACAAATGTGTAACCTGAGCAGCAAACAGTGACAAAATGCCACTACCAGCACCAACATCAACTACTACCCGACCATGAAAATCATTGCGATTCTCAATTACTGCAGCATAATAGGTTCCTGCCTCCAGAGAAAATGAATAAAAAATTATATTTGCAACGGTAAATAATGCATTCTATCTAGCAGCAAGTGAGAAACGTCAAACAGTGAACGCTATTAATTAATTCCTATAAGGGGGCATATGTACTGCAGAAATGGAAATAACCTGTCCTCACAAAGTCCTGCATCATATTCTGCTGATGCAATAGTTGTCCATAGTAATCAAAATACATTTTGGCAGAAGATGCCTCAACTTTTTCTTCGAATTTGCTTTTCGAAGTTGACACAGTTCCATTTGGCAAATCTGTTCCTGTGGAACAAATCAGACTACATAAGCCAGCAATAATTCTAGACCATAATTACAACTAAACAATTTTGGCCTATATTCAAGCAGACCTTGTAAAGCCAATGGCTTTTTCCATTCCTCAAATGCACTATGGAAGGCCCTACTTTCCTCTTCTGTTCTACACTGAATGGTGATTCCCCTTGAACAAGTTTGCTGGTCCAAAGGTACAAAATTTATTGCACAAGATTCTTATAGCAATGCACACCATTTCATAATGTTATGTAAACCAGAGAATAAATTGTGAAGTATGTGTTTTCCTGGGGTGATGAATCTGGTAATGTATATAACCAAACAGCCTAACACCCACCATCTTACCTCTGTATTTGATTCAGACGTCTGAGATATGCAGAGTGATTGAACAGGACTGAGTTTAAATAGCTGAAAAAGGGATGCAAAAGCCAAAATTAAACAAAATGCCTGCTTCAATTCCATTGTTGCTTGATCATTCATAAATAAACAGCAATTTAATGCCACAAAAGGTTGGAGCTTTTCTCTTATAATCAAGTAATTGTTCATTTACAAACTAAGAAAACAGAGGTGCATGTTAAATATCTGAAATTTCTAATGGACGGAAGGATTTGCATTGATATCATCAGTGCAGGAAAAATGTGAAACCTAAAACAATTGGTATGTCACGGCAAATTCATTCTACATAACTAGGCCACGAGTTACACCATTTACAAGCAAGACAGACTGAATGCATGACACCTGACCTGAACACCTACCACAGTTCTTAAACTTTGAACCATTTTAGAACACAAATTTCGTTTTACCAAAACCGAAATTCAGAATAGACCTCACGCCAGAAGCACCAAATTTCATCCAAATAAGGAAAAAGTAAAGTCATAACTCTATTGCATTCATAATCCCATAATATATCTCATAGAAGCACTAAATTTTTCAATATAAAATATACAAACAAATCAAATGCCGCGCCTGAGAGCTCGGAAGTTCAAACACAGCAACAGCTTTATTCGGTTCGGATTCTCCGCTTAGTACTAGTTTTGCAACTCCGGAACCGAGGCGGAACCGAGCTAAAACCGGCGAAGAAGTAGAAACTGAAGGCGAATGTGAAAGCTGAGACATGGATGCGAGCAGAAACCGTTGCTCATTCCGTTTTTCCACCCCGGGAAGCTCCATGATCCACTCTCTTCAAGTTCTCGGAGCTTTGTGTATATTAGTTTAAATATATATAAACGAATAAAAACAATTTTTACAGATTCGTAGATATATGATTTATTTTTTTATTTCATTGTATATATGCATGAATAATCAGTGAGCGGAGAGCTAGGGTTCTTGCGATAGTGACCGTACGGGGCCGCAATTGCTCCTTTGCTTATAAATGAAGATTGGAACTGCGTAGGATGGCGGGTTTAGCTTTTCTTCAGTTACTCCCCAGTCCCCATTGGTAATCGGGGAATACCGTTATTTCGTACAAATTGCAAAATATTTACATAAAAGATAAAAGATATAATATCAGAAAATTTGTACACATGCTAGTACTAAAAATGCATCCTATCCTATCCTATTATAAATATAGAAAGATGATGATATTTTTTGAAAAATTTTATTGTTTTATTTGAATACTACTGACTCTATGACCTCCCCATATGGGAGATGTCACTACATGCCACCTGAGTACGAGGTGCTTGGCATTTGAAATGTGAACTTCATTGTTATATATATATATATATATATATATATATATATATAGGTATACTCAGGGTTTCCACCGTTGGATACTAATTCTCTCACTGGATTGTAGACACCTTTTTTGGGTGGGACAGTTTGCCTGAAGAATTAAAAAAAAAAATTAATTTTTTTATTATTCATGTGTTTATATAGAATAACAAATTTAGGCTGCGCTATACACACAATTAAGGATAAAACCCTTGACATTTGGTTAATGATGGATGAGTCTCTTCCCCTCAACCACGCTTGACGCTCCCTTGGTTATTACAAGGTAGTATATGTTGTATACTTTCTCAATTTTTTTTAGCCCAAAGAGTCAATGTCCCTACCATCGGAGTTCAATCATGTGACCACTCAATTGGAATAGTAACAAGAATGTCATTACATTACATAGAGATTGACCATAACATATCATTAAAGTCCGTCACTTTTTGCCCTAACAGATGTTTGCATGCCACACATAACAGATAGTCAACAATGTCCGCTTCCACTAAGGCTCGATCTTATGACCTCCCACATAGGAGAAGTCGCTACATGTCATCTGAACAAAAAGTGCTTGACAAACATATTACTTAATACATGGGTAAAATTATAATTTGAAATGCCAAAGATTTTGTAGTCAAGCATCATAAAGTTACTCTCCCAAATGAGAGGTCATAGCCCCCTCTCAATGGGGTGGTATTAACTCGTTGGGCTTCAGTAGGTTAAGAAAATATATTTGAGCATATACTACACCACCAACTTGTTAAAAAAAAAAAAAAACTAAAATCACTATCTCATACAAAATTAAAGCGTTAATAATGTTAACGTCAATAACGAGAAGACTACAAACTTACACCGAAGCTACGTTTATCTAGTGCACATATTCAAGTAATGATTGCAGGATCTCCATATTGTTACTAAGTATAGAAACCAAAATTATAAAAATCACTAATTCGTTTTTTTTTTTTTTTTTTTTTTTAAATAGAGACTAAAATCACTATGACAATGTCATAAAAAATTAAAATGTTAATAATATTGACATCAATAACGAGAAGACTACAAACTTACACTGAAACTACGTTTAGCTTCTGTACACATAACACATTATCATAAGAGAGAAATAATAATCAATCAATCGCAATCTTACATATGTAAAAATTCGGTGACATCTTTGGCATTATTATTTTCAAAATTCAGTTTCAACTCCCAAACTATTTTTTATTTCAAAAAAATAAAATAAAATTCCCAAACTACGGTACACTGAGCGACTGAGAGCGCTCAAGTCAGAAGCGAAGCGAGCAGCCTCGTTCTCATTTTGAGTTGCGAGCCAATACCGGCTGAGAAGAAGAAGAAGAAGAAGAAGAAGAAGTCGCTCAGAAATGGTAATTCAAATTTCGACTTCATTTTTACGTTGTGGAAATCGATCAATTGTCCTTGGGTTCCAGAGAATCAAATTGCTTACTTTTCCGTTCAGATCTAGGGTTTAATTAGAAAATCGTGGAAAATCCGCACTCATCTACACTTCAGTATTCGCATTGTATTATTTGCTCATTTTAGACTGTGCTCCTTAATCTGTATTATGGTTTTCCAAAATTTTCTATGCGATTTGATGCATTTTTTGTCGTTATTAATTAAATTTGCCCCCCCCCCCCTCCCCCCTCCTCTCTCCCCTCCCAAGAATGTTGGAGATGAGACGAAGAATGTTTGTCTGTAAACGATAAATAGATGTGATGATGAGTAAGGTGGTTTGCTGGATGATATATATTGCTTAATAGCTTTATTATCTCAGGTTAACAACTCTACTTGATACTTGTTGCTTATAACTTCCAAATGTTAAATGTTTCAAATGAACATTTAGTTTAAAATGGTCTATGTAATCTAATGTTCTGAATATCTTTAGCTGTGATTATATTGGAACAACAAACTCTATTTAATTTAAAAAGGTGGAGGTGTGCCTCAAGACGTTTTGTAATGCTGAGGCGAGGCGTAAGCCTCAGTTTTTTATCAAAAGATATTAATAACCTTCTTGCCGCACCCTCCTTGATAACCTTCCCACGGTAATTGTATAACATATTTATAGGTTTTCTTTTTTGGACCTTCATGCACTTCACAGCAAGCTTCTTCGGTCTTTGCACTTCGAATCGCGAACAAGTTTCTTCGGTCTTCACAAGTTGATTTCTTCCCAGTTCCCAGTTCTTTTTTTTTTTTTCTTTTTTTTTTTTTTTGTTCTTCTAATTAGGGTTGGGTTAGATTGGGTCATCTCCTAGTGGACCCTAGGAAAATAAATCGAGCCTAAATCAACTAAATTTATAGGCACACCTCAAACGCGTGTTGAGGCGCATGAAAGGCGTACGCCTCAGCCTCTGAGGCGTATGCCTCTACTTCAGCCTAAGAGGTGTATGCCTCAGCACCTTTCCTGTACGCCTCACACTGAGGCGAGCCTCAAAACTGCCTTTTTAAACTATCTAGTATTTATGCAATCTGGTCTTTGTAATCTATGCTTGAATTGACAGTCACAATAACCTACAGTGTTTGTTTTGCTGGTAGGATGGGCATGATGCAGATGGTTCAAAACAAAGCACTGGAGATATGACTGTGTTTGTAAGTCTTCACTGCAAACTTGTTTATTTTTTGCTGGCACTGAGATTTAAAAGAAATAAGTGCCATGAAACTTAAGTGCTCTTAACTATTCAAGGAACAAAGATGACTTTAATACCTAGTTGTCAAAAGCATGAAGGACTCTCGTGTACCTTGTTGTGTTCGTGGTGAAATATGAAAGCTTGTCAAGAATCAAGATGATATTCTGTGCCAATTCAAACCTCCTTGACATTATGTTTCTATAGTTCTGTTAACCCCTAAATATGATAATCATAATCCTTGATACTTAACCAGTTAACCATGCTCTTCTTTTCTTGTTAGTATCAGGTGGTTTTGACCCAAACTGACAATTATAAATGTCAGTGAGGCCCCTGAAATTATTTGAGTGCTTTTTTCTGATGGTATGGTAGTTGGCATATCATATTTTGGGTGTCAGTAGGTATTTGAGTGCTTCATCTGTTGGGTGACGGTTGGGTCTTGCTTGTCAAAACTATTAGCACACCTAAATGGAGAAACTCTGTTCCACATGCTAACTTTTGTTTTTCTTTTCTATTCTTACTTCCTGTAGGTGCAAAATCTTCTTCAGCAAATGGTGAGTCTGCTACCTCCTCCAAACTCTCTTCTTTTCTTTAACTATTTCTATTTTAGATATATTAGAGATTTATTGTGTTTGTTATGATTTTATTTTTCTTTGCAGCAAACAAGGTTTCAGGCCATGTCTGAATCTATCATTTCAAAAAATATCCTTTTGTCATTTCTGTCTTCTTTGTGGTATACAGTTGCAAGTATTGAGTATAATTCTGGAAAAACTTGACTAACTATTGTATGCATTGCAAATTTGACATTAGATAGCAACTTAAGCCATCATAGGATGTAACCTTCAATGTTTAAAAATGCCAAAATGCTCCTTAAGCACACTACTCTCACTCATTGATGCATAACGAAGTTAAGATACACTGTAAAGCAATTTCAATCCATATTTTTGTTGTTCCAATCTTTGGGTCTAATACCCCAATATTTACTGTCATACGCCATGTAAATCAAGTCCCTTTCATTGTCCTTGACAATATTTAAGAGTAGCATATGTTTCTTACAAGTTATAATAGTATGTTTAGTCCTTGACATGTTGCACTTGATGAGATGGGCAACCGGGTTGATGAATTAGAGCAGAGCATCAATGATCTTAGGGCAGAAATGGGTCAAGATGCTCCATCGCCTTCAGCAGGGATGAAGACAAGAGATGAACCCAAGTCAGGCTCAGGCACCGATTCTGCCTAAAATTAGGTGCAAAATCTATATTTTCAGTATGATTTACTTGAGTATATTTTCATCATCTCTAACTGTATCTACTTGAGAGCATCACTCACACACCTTATTCAGTCCGAAAAATTCTGGAGTGACTTGAACTTGTTGATTTGACTATCATTTTCCCTACAAATCCTACAATGTCACGTCGTAAGAGTTTCTGCTTTCTTATCATGTTGGTTGTGTTTGGTTGTGCCATGTTGATATAAACTTTATGTGGCAGTGGCTGCTGTGTCGGCAGATCAATTTGTTAAAACTTTTTTTGTTCAGTTGGAAAATATTTTAACATTTCTGTCCGGACTCTGCACTCAACTAGCGAAGTGGTTTTATAAAGCTACATTGCCTTCATTTTTGTATTTAAATTTGGTTAGTACTAACATGATTGGATGAGATTGCTTGCATTAGCTTTTTTAAAGCACATAAAACTAATTGTCTCGTTACTTAATCATTGGGTGCAACTGTACAAGAATGAGTGAAAGTGTCATCTTCCCTCAAAGCATATGTGCGGACTGTCGAATCATTTTTTATTTTTTGAGGAGAGATAAATCATACTAAGAAAACTGTGTGTCAATCAAGAGAGTATTGGCAAGAATTAAAATAACTTTTAGGTGTGAAAATTATGCTCTATTCTCTTAGTTATCCCCTTTGGGATGGTTGAATCATTTTTTTTATAAATAATAAAATAAAAAGAGTTAATTCCATTTTCTGTCCTAGATTTATAGGTGATAGTTCACTTTTATTCATTTTTTATCTAAATATTTTCATTTTGTCCTAGTATTATTGTGGCATGATCATTTTTGGTCCTCCACTCCGTGAACAAAATTATTGAAATGCAGTTAAATACAAGGATATTTTGATCTTTTTTTTTTTTTTTTTTTTTTTTACAAAGTAAGTTGAGTTTTTATATTTTTATGTTTATTTTTTTGAAAAAATCTATAATTTAAGACCGACATGCCTTTGTATTTTATAAAATTTGTAAACTGTTTTGTTGATAGAGGACAAAAATGATTATGTCACAATAATATTACTATGACCAAAAGTATATGTTTGAAAAAAAGACTAAAAGTAGATTCACCTATAAATTTAAGACAAAACATGGAATTAACTTTAAAAAAAAAAAACTTTTAATGAGATTTTAAGTATCACATGTTGCATTTATACACAATGTACTATTTGTTTTACCAAAAATATTAAGAGAAAAAAAAAATACCCTAGTACAGGTACACTATATTTATGTTTAAAAATGGAAGAAGAGGAAACTAGTACAAATACCCTATGCGTAGACCAGCAGATTAAAATCGAAAATACTATGTGTATTCTTAATATATATTCTTTACTTTTACTTCCATATACAAAATCTTAATGTAGAACTTGTATTGAGATTCATATGAAAAAAAATTAAAAATAACTCATCAAAGCCCACTACATCGAAATTACACGTACTAGACTCATTAAAATGTGAAGTGAAAATGGAAATGGAAAGAGTGCAGTGCGGGGCCGTATAGATATAATGGTGTGGCGTGAAGGACGGGGAAAAAGGGCATATGGTTGGGTGGACACCAGTTGTTGCTAGGCTGTAAAACATGACAAGGACAGGGACGCTACTTAATGGTTCCACAGACAGCTAGCTACTCGTGGGGCTCAGCATCAGCTCTGTGTGTGTGTGATTATGCATCCTTTCCTGCCCTCTACCACATGCAATTGCACTTCATGCCTGCCCTCATTTTTTAATTCTGCTGTAAATACTGAATATGAATATGATGGCTCCCTATCATCTACTGCCATCATCAACCGTAATAAATATATTCACCCTTTTCAATTTAAGTCATAATAATTCAAATAAAATATATACAAATTACATTGTAATCTAAACAATTATTTTCGATCAAGTAAGAGGTGGAAAAGCACAATGGTTTAAATACAAGTAGTAAAGTGACATTAATATATACCCGATGGCCTGCACGCGTATTAGCAAATAAATAAATAAAGTTAAATAAAAGACAGGATGACAGCTAGATTTTGTTGTTATTGGCCTGAAAATATTCACATCTGAATATTTTACAGATTTGAAATTGGCCAAGTGAATTTATTATGTATAAAATAAGGTAATAATTTACAGACTTGACTACCGACTTCACAGTTTCACATGATTTTCACTTGTCATACATATACTGATGCAAATATGTGGTCATGTGGATGTCAATGAAAATAATTCAACAATAAATTCAAATTTAATAACACATTTCAAACTAAAGTAATTTTTATAATATATATATTACTGAGTAGAAAAATTTACAATAAAGCAAACAAATACTCAGAACGTGAAATTATTTAATTTTGTGACAGGATATTAGTTCAGCGCTCGTCATCACAATTGATAGTACTAGGACTAGTAGCATACTAGCATTGGATATAAATTAATAATCTCCATTTATACAAATCATCCCCCGTGGAAGGAAAATCACAAATCCAAAATACACTAATTTCACAAAGAGGATATATATATAATAATAGTAATAATGATAATGATGATGATGATAACGGACGGAAAAAAAAAATATGGAAATTAAACTCAACCACGGCAGCGAGTGATTGCACTGCATCCGCGTCGGTAGGGATTGGCCGGAGCTCCAGGCCGGCAGTTGTAGTAGGAAGCACCTCGTCGGGAACAGGGAACTCTGTTACGGCTCAGAGCGCCGTAGCTGATGTAGCGCTGTCGGTACGCTAAAATGCGCCGGTTGCTTTCGGAGTCCAGCTCGAACTCGTCATCGCTCAAGCACTCCCCAACCGAGCCGTCGCAGATCTTCGATGAAGCCGACGGCATTGCCATCGGAAAGTAACCGATCTCATAGGCTCCCGCGGATGCTGTGACGGCGGCCGGCGACGAGAGCACCGCCGTAATGATGAAGATTGCGCAGATCGCGAGAAAGCCTGTTGACTTTACCTTCTTCGCCATTTTTTGGTTTCTCACTTTTTCTCTCTTGAAGTTTGAGAGACAGATTTCCAGGGATTTTGATTGAAAGTAGACGGCAAGGAGGAAGTGGAGAGTGATTTATAGATAGATTGCGATTTGGAAAATGCCCTTTGAGATGGGAAATATTTACGTAAAATGCCATGTGATTTTGTGATTTTCTAAAAATCAAAATGATATACTCCGTATTAGTTATTTACCTGCATAATTCTCCATATATTTTTATTTTATAATTTTAATTATACACCAATAGTTTTTTTTTTAATAAAAAAATACAATTGTTTATTATTAAAAAATGCTATTTTTATTAATTTTAATTAAAATATAATTTAAATGTTAATAATTATTAATTGGTCTATTGTTGCATACTTGCATATGTTTAAGAAAAAGTAATACGGAGTATAACGTAATCTATTTTTTATTCATTACTTTTTAATATAATCAACAACAAATAGTCGGTAAAATAGATAAATTTTTTTTCCCTTCTGATTCTCATTGATCAAATAAGGGTGCGTCATTGATCGAAAATTTCGGGTCTAATGTTGCATCCTTCACTATTTTTTCATTCAAATATAATTAAAATTAACACATTTGATTAAAGTTATATATATTTTTTTCACACTTATTACTATTATACTATAATATATTCCGTATAAATTTAATAACAATCATAACCTATTCAAATAAGACAACAAATCTTATCAAAGTGGCACTATCATTTATTATTTATGAATAAAAATAATAATAACTTCACCTTTAGTCTTACAAGTTACAACTATTATATAACTATACCACATTATGTCTTTAATTTTTAATTTAACTATGTTTAGTTTCATTGTTCCAAAAAGGTTGAATTCTCAATTCGAGAGTTCCCACGGCCCTATTCGATAAAGCACATGGGATTATGTAAATCATGGTAACTCAATTGAACACAGAAGCTAGACATTTGCTTACTCCGTACACAATGAGCCCCTTCATTTTGAGAGGTTGCTCCTACATAGTCGCTGGTAAGACTCGATTCCGGGTCATTGTTCCTAAACTTCACCACGGTGATCAACTGAATTGTCATTGCGGACCTAAGTTTAGTTTCATGATTTTATTTATTGTGTCACATTTGGTATTCTTTTACAAATTTCATCCAACTAATGTTACTTTACCTCTCGATCAAACTCTTCGTTCCTTTCTCATCTTTACCAAAAAAGAAAAAAATTAATTTTCCAAACAACTGAAACAAGGGTACCCACCAACACTTGGCCAATAGAGGGACTCAAAAATATCATACAATAAATCTGAAAGTGGATTTGATGAGAGCCACATGGATAATAATAATGTTTCGCTTGTGATATAATAAAGCCACAATTTTCCATGACAATGCAATACCAATTCATGGGACTAGATTAGGATTCATGTTGTCGACGTTGCAATGTAGACAATGGTCCACGCGATATAACATCATCAATTTTATGCTTAGATCTAAATAAAATATTATCACTAGAAGAATTTAATTAACCTTAATATCTTATTCCATATCAACACTTTCGGTCCTTGACTAATTTGAATTCGGTCTAAATTGCATTTGCATAATCTGACTCTTATTTGAGAGAAAGTCTAACCCATAGCTCACATCATATAGTTGCATTAACAATCCCTTTACTAAAAGTCTTAAACTACTCTTAATTCTATATGGGTTTCTCTCAGCTTGTCAAAAAAAAAAAAAAAAAAATACATTCACCATTAAGGTAGTCCCAATTGTGCAATGTATAATATTTTTTATATACTCACCCTTTCGAGAAAAAATGGAAGAACTTAACTAACAAGAAAAATCAAATAAAGGAACTGTAATTTAGAAGTATTATTGGAGTAACTAATACAACTTGCTATAATTTTGTGTTTGTCCCACATAATAAATATCCCCACATCATATGCTCACTTTTGTTTGAGCCGAAAGCATACCAGTTGTACAATTGTTTAGTAAAGAGGAACAACTAATAAATTATTGACAATGATATTTATATTACTTTTTTTTTTTATACTATACTATGTATTATAAATATTATTATTTTTTTCATGTTTATTAGTTATGATGATGAAATTAGGAGCCAACTTTCAATCAAGTTGATTAGATCGATAATGGACTTGGTAGTTATAACGTTTCAAATTCTGAATTCTTTTATAAAAAATTTCTATTGATTTTCTTAAATTGAATCAATAAGCTATTAAAGAATTTCAAAAATTTTAAATGTGTGCGGGTCGATTACTTCGAAATTCAAATCCATGACTTTCGACATGATTCTGATACCAAATTGAAACATGTGTTTTATCTCAACCAAAAATCTAAGCGAATAGTTATATTCTACATTTATATTTATATATATATTATATTATACATGCTCAACAAATACAACTAAGGTTTCCAGGTGTCGAGTGATGGGTGTTTCCAGGAGATAATTACGGCTTTGATTCTGACGTAGCGCGTATGGCCACTCCATGCCGCGTCTTTATATTCAATTCCTTCTACAAAATGAAAGGAAAAAAAAAAGGAGAGTATGTATTGTGCCTTTGATGAACAGCTAATGATTGCCGCAACAATTTGATTACTTTTGAATTTTTTGTTGGTTGTTTTATCATTGACAATTCAAAAGAATCAAAACGGACAAAACCTACGTCTATTGGGTATAGGCGGATAGCTAATACTTTTAATACTCCTATACTAGCATTTGCTAATCTTAAATATAATGCTAATTAAGAATACAAAGGTTTGTTAGTTATAAGAAAAAATGTAATATTTTTGAAAATAAATGTAATATTTTTATATTTTGATATAAAAGTATTGTTTTTTTCATCAAAAATATTGTATTTTTTCTTATAAGTATTTTTTGTACTTATAAAGACAAAATGTAATACTTTTACATCTTACATTTTCCTATTTCAGTAATAAATATTTTATTCTCAATTTAGTATTACATTTGCTAGTACAAGTATTACATTTCATCTTGATTATGATCCATCTTACGGATAAAATCTGTAAAATGATCTCACACAAATTTTTACCTAATTTAATTATAAACCAATATTCACAATACAAAGTAGACCCTGGTATAATTTGCCATATGATCCTTACCCAACTTGTGTCGGGCCAGGAATGAACAATTCATTATAAATATCTAAGGCCGAATGTCAACTTCATTAACAATTTGAAGACCATTTGCTCAATAGTTATTGCATGGACTCTGGTTCACATAGCTGTGTGCACCACGGTCCAAAAATAACGTCGTTTTGTTTAATTTTAATTTTTCGCGCGTCCAATTGCAATGTACATTTTTATAATTTATAATGTACATTATTTAAAAACATAATGTACATTATTCTAAAACATAATGTACATTATTTTACAACATATTATACATTATTGATAGTACTAATTCCCGCTATGTAGAATGTACATACCGTATGTATGTGTATGAACAATGTTCTCTTGCATGTATCTATCGAGAGAAGGAGGGGAGTACTAAGGTGTATGTAGAGAGAGAGTGATCAAGGGGCAAGAACCCCCTAACTTGGAGGGCTAAGGCCCTATTTATAGGGTCAAGGGTTGGCGGGTTGACCTTGACCCGTGGACCGGGACCCGTACCGTTTGATCCCGACCCAAGCACAAGCGCAGAGCATACGAGGAGCTTGAATCCGGAGTATATTCCCTATCAATTATATTACCTTAAATGTTTCATTATTCTAACACGTAATGTACATTATTTTAAAACATAGTATATATCATTTTTACTCATAATATTTACGACGTTATTTTGGACCGTGGTCCATACAATAATTTGCCCCATTTGCTGAGTTGAGCCCAATAAAGACAATCGGGCCTTCTCAGCAGACCCAGGGGAGATCTAGACGCAAATTATGCTGTGCAACCGAATGCACCTTGCAAGGTGCATACGGTTGCAAAACGGCGCTGTTTTGGTTAAAAAAACGCGCGTCTCACTTAAAGAAGAAATCAGGTTCGATTCCCGGCAATAGCATTTTTATATATCCAGAAATTCATAACTATATAACCACAATTTCATAACTATATATCAACAATTTCATAACTATATATCCACAGTGAATGAATGAAGTAAAAATCCACAATGAATGAATGAATGAAGTAAAAATCCACAATGAATGAACTAAATATCCACAATATATGATTGAACTAAATATCCACAATGAATGAACTAAATATCCATAAATTCATAACTATATAACCACAATTTCATAACTATATATCCACAATTTCATAACTATATATCCACAATAATGCTATTGTTGAGAGTCGAACCTGATTTTTTTTTGTTTAAAGTGGGACGCGCGTTTTTAATCAAAACGACGTCGTTTTGAACCGTATGCACCATGCGCATGGTATATTCGGTTGCACAGCATAACTATTGAGATCTAGAAGAACTGTGTGCATGATATATTATAACTGGGCCAGGCTGTAATATGAAATGGGCCAACACTGCTTAGGACCAATTTGATTGTTACTATATTTCGATATAAGGGTCAAATAAGCGGCAAATTATTTTGTGACTCCGGTCCATCTAGCAAGATAGATCTGGGTTCAATATTACAATTTATATATTGAATGTTCACAATTTTGTAAAAGATACATTGTGAATATTTAATATGTAAATTATGAACATTCGATATGTAAATTGTGAACATTCAGTATGTAAATTGTGTATTTTGGATCGGGATCAACCTTGCAAGGTGGATCCTGGCCCATGGTATAACAACTCCAAACAAGCCATTCAAATTTTATGAAAAATGCAATTAAGTCATCGAACTCTAAAAAGCTCCAAATAAGTCATTGAATTTGAAAGAAGATGCAATTAAACCATGTTTACCTCCTATAGCAGGTTAACACAAGTTATAGGCTTATAACTGACTTAGGATAACCACAATTCCGGTTCCTACCCGGCAGTTCTCAATTTTGAAAAATGACCAACGGACAATTTTGATTTGAAATACCGATTCAAACTTTTTTTTTTTTTTTTTTTTTGGGAATTCTATTTCCTATTCTT